GAAGGGGACAGGACGTCTGCACCGTATTGAGGAGAGGATGAATGGGGCCATTTATTGTGAGATTTTGAGCAACGACCTCCTTCCCTCAGTCAGAGCATTGAAGATGGGTTGTGGCTGGGTCTTCCAACATGACAACGACCCGAAGCACACAGCCAGGATAACCAAGGAGTGGCTCCGTAAGAAGCATATCAAGGTCCTGGAGTGGCCTAGCCAGTCTCCAGACCTCAATCCAATAGAACATCTTTGGAGGGAGCTTAAACTCCGCGTTGCTCAGCGACAGCCCCGAAACCTGACAGATCTAGAGGAGATCTGTGTGGAGGAGTGGGCCAAAATCCCTGTTGCAGTGTGTGCAAACCTGGTCAAGAACTACAGGAAACGTTTGACCTCTGTAATTGCAAACAAAGGTTTCTGTACCAAATATTAACACTGATTTTCTCAGGTGTTCAAATACTTATGTTCAGCAGTGCAAGACAAATAAATTCTTTAAAAATCATACAATGTGATTTCCTGAATTTTTTTTTTAATTCTGTCTCTCAGAGTGGGAATGGACCTGCAATGTGAATTTCAGACCCCTCCATGATTTCTAAGTGGGAGAACTTGCAAAATCGCAGGGTGTTCAAATACTTCTGTTCCTCACTGTAAGTTTGTTACTCAAGCTGCATTCACAGTTTGTTATGCAAATTACCAAACCATAAATGCTTCCCAGCTTTGAGATTTTTTTGAGTTATTTTTATGATTTGCATATTCTCTCATTCACTCTTTACTCTCTCACCACCTCCTGTTTTGACAGCGTCCCAGTCGAAGAGCAGCCTAAAGAAGCAGAGGAGCCGGGGCATTTTCAGCACATTCTTCTGCTGCTTCCGCAACTACAATGTGGAGCCACCAGCCACTAACACCAACACAAGCTCCCTGCCTCCACCTGTTGAGGAGAATGGTTCACCTCCTAAGGTGAGCTGCTGCACCACTGCATGCTAATTGGCCTGTTCTTAGATTTGTAAACTGTAAAAGCCCAGGAAAATTGCTGTCTGCACATGTTTATGAATTGTTTTGTTTGTCTGAATAGTGCTTTCTCTTTGTTTTTCTTTTTCTCTGTGGATCTTATGGTTTTTTGTCTCCTTTTTTGTTCTCTTTCCTATTCCTTACCCTCTTTTTGTACGTGCGTGTCTATCTCTCTTGTGTTGTAGTGTGACCAGGTCGAGGTCTTCCCTGTTCCTAGTGTATGTATTGCCATTTTTTGTTTTCCTTTGCATGCAGGCTGAGTGGGATGGTGCTGGCACATCCCATGTGTGTGTGTGTGTGTATGGGCTCCAGTACACCTCCAAAGAGCTTTAGCTCTCCTACCGTGCTGCAGTTCATTCTCTGTCCATCATAGCACTGACTATGTGGAAGTTGTATATGCACCTATAGGTTCAAATGGTGCCTCAGTGCCTCATCTGCATGAATGAAATTGGTGGGTCATATGCTTTCAGAAATAGTGGGCTACTAACAGGTTAATGCTATGAATTGCTTCAGGAGCTTCTATGCATTAAGTAAATCCATTTATTATGCTACTTATCTGTGCAGTTGTATAAAGTTTGTGTAAATTATTTGCTTCTGCAACCAAGTGGTGAAATTTATCATCACTCAAAGACAAAATTTGATATGGTTTGGCCAGTATACCAATTACCCGTTGGTGCCCACATGATGGAGCTGTAATTTTTCCATAAATCATAATTGAGCGATGTTTGAACTGACATGAAATTTGTTCAGATTAATATACATATTAGTCAGTACCTCTCACTGCTTTGACCAATTTATGTATTGCATTAGGAGAGCTTGGCTAAGATGTCATGACATGCTTCAGGGGTAGAAAAATGTAATATAATAAAATAAAATTAACTGCACACTGAAAGCTTACATGATGTATTTAGAGCATGTAGCCAACATTCAACCCACTGGTCTTAAGGGCAAGTAAGCTGAAGGGGTAGGACAGCCAGGTGAGGCTGTAGAACAGATGCTGCTCTACTCATCTGTGGTAATGTTAACTTCGGTGCATCACTTGAGTAGCAAGATTGCAGGTGAATCCTCAGATGTGTTGTACTTAAGTAGGCATCTGCTTTTTTTTTTTTTTTTGTAGATTGGGCAATCCTTGACACCGCTCTGATGTTATTGTCCGATCAGCACAGCTTTGCTTGCTACTATCCCGCATTTTGTCCTTGCAAACATAATGTTACTAGCTTACTTTTACTGAGAGGTCAGCAGGTCAAGCTGATGGTGAATTTTAAGAATGTCCTCTGTTGGACTTCAAGGCAGGTTACATCAAACAGCCTGTTGTGCTTATTACATTGTTGAATTCAAACAGGTCATTACGGTTCAGATTGTTGTTGTTTTTTCTTTTTACCATGTTCAAATGAATGTTCCACATTCAAATAAAAAGTGACAGCCCTACCACATGAAACTCAGCACCCCAGATGCATCAAATGTGAATGGATACAGCACTGTTCCTACATTTTCACATAGTTCTCACAACCTCATCCTCATGTTCACACATGAAGTTGAAGCTCATTAAGATTTTCAAACTGAGATGTTTAGTTCTCCACATATCTGATAAAAATGTTAGGGGTTTTACGACAGTGTAACTTTGTACACCGATCAGCCACAACATTATGACCACCTGCATAATATTGGCTGGAGCCAATTCCAGCCCAATTGGGCAAAGGCGGGGTACATTCTGGACAGGTCGCCAATCCATCGCAGAGCTGACCATTCAGTGAAAAATTTAGTTAAAAGGAGTGAAAACTGTGGTTGTGAGGGCAAGTTAGAAAGAATCTGTTAGACACAGTCTCCCCACTCTTGGTGCGATATCACAACTGTAGCTGCTGAATGTGTCTTCATAGAGACCAATGTGCAGTATTTCTCAATTTCACTAGAGATATACCGATTGATCGGCGGAGAATGGAAATGGACGGTTTTCAACATGATCAGTCTTGACCGGTGACTAGCCAGTCTCTGAGATTTCTGGTTGCTGTGCCAAACAGACATAGAGGCAAGACGGTTCAAGTGGTACAGAACAAAAGCATAGCATGTGTAACACAAACAGTCATGGCCAAAAATTTGCATTTCTGTTAGATAATGCACCAGTTCTCCCAGAAAATTGGTGCAATCACAAATTCCTTGTTTATGTATTTTGTTTGCATTGGAACAACACGAAAAAGCCAAATCCGATACATTCCACATAGAACTCCAAAAATTGACTGACAGAATTATTGACACCTTTTCAAAATCATCAGAAATACCTGTATTTCAAGCGTGTGATGCTCCTTTAATTTGTAATGAAACTCACCTGTAGCAATCATCAGGTGCTGGCAATATAGAAATCACACTTGCAACCAGTTAAAATGGAGAAAAGTTGAATCAATCGCTGTGTCGTGTGGACCACACTGAGCACAGAGAAAAGAAAGCAGAGTAAAGAATTGTCTGAGGACTTGAGAACCACAGTTGTGGAAAAGTATGAACAATCTCAAGGCTACAAGTCCATCTCCAGAGATCTGGCTGTTCCTGTGTCCACTGTGCGCAACATTGTCAAGAAGTTTACTGTCCATGGCGCTGTAGCTAATCTCCCCGGACGTGGACGAAAGAGAAAAATAGATGACAGAAATGTAAAACTTTAATACAGTGTTTTTTTTATTACAATTTAATCTTTCAGTAAAGAAAAGTTCCAGTTGTGTATGCTGTCAGTTACAGTTCTTACAAAGAAAAAAAATTGGATTTAGCCAAAATTGTAATCGGCAGGTCAGACTTAAAAATCAATCAGAAATTGGCCAAGAAAGATGTAATCGGTGCATTTCTTATTTTCACCCATTTTAGCAAAGGGAAAATGGAATCTTTTGAAAAGGATGAATGAAATTTAAAACTTTAATCTACAATAGGTCGACCTCATCATCAGTGAGCCTTGGGCGTCCATGACCCTGTCACCATTCCACTCTCTGTCCTTCCTTAGATACTGTTGGTAGGTACTGTCCGCTGCAGACTGAGAACATCCAACAAGACCTGCAGTGTGAGAGACGCTCTGACTCAGTTGTCAGCCATCACGGTTTGACCCTTGTCAGAGTCACTTAGCTCCTCACTCTTGTCTGTCTTTCCCGCTTCCAACACATCAACTTCAAGGACTGAATATTTACTTGCAGCCTAATACACCCCTCACACTGACAGGTGCCACTGCAACGAGATGGTTGTTCACTTCACCTGTCAGTGGTCATAATGTTATGGCTGATCAGTGTATGTGGCAATACCCTGGTGATGTCATTTTGAAGTTCCAAGTAGTTTTATTGATTTATCATTTCAAACATGGCATTTATTCATCTGCATCATTACACATTGAGATGCTCTTCCTAACATTGTGTTGGCTTTTTTGCTCAGCTTTATTCATGAGTTTATGGAATGTGTATGTCACTCTCTCTCCCTATCGCTGTCTTTCTCTCTCAAACATAATCATTCTCCCTCAGCCTATCTGATATTACCTGCCTTGTCCTCTCACCAGCCGCCAGCCAAATACCTGCTGCCAGAAATGAAAATATCTGACTATGGAAAAAAGTGTGTGGTGATTGACTTGGATGAAACTCTCGTCCACAGTTCGTTCAAGGTAAGAAGAGTCCAGAGCTCATCTTAGGTCATAGGTTTGCTACTGATGGCCTGCACAGTTCTCACCTGTGCCTGTGTGTTGCTCTTTAATACACTATGATCATCACTTGTCTGGACAATCTTTGTTTCTGTCTAAAACATATCATTTTTAACCTAACCTTCACTGAACTGAAAACATAACTGACTTCATTTCCTTTAGCATTTTCCTACATCCTTGTAAAACACTACATGTATGCAGAGCATCACCATTATCTTTGTCTTAATAGCTGAAGCTCAGTTGGAAATATGTAGGAGGTCAAAGCTGTGCTGAATCTATTTGGCCACTGTGTAAACAAGGCTAGGAGAGGAGCAGGTGGTGGATGTGCAGTAGTTAGAATGAGGGCAATATTATAGTCCTGACCGCATTTAAAAACAAAGCAGGATGGTAATAGGAAAGACTAAGGGCTGGCTGATGTGGACAGCCAGCTGCAGTTAATACAATCTCTTCTTTAGCTTTAACAAGCATTGCCATGTGTAACAAAAAGCATTTTGCAGCAGTAGTAACAGAGGTTGTCTGTTTTTGTTGCACTCCAGTATATGTTGTGGAGACCTCCTGCTGCTCTTCCTGTTTCTCTGTGCTTTTTTTTTTTTTTTACTCATCCTCCCTTATTCCATTACCTGTCTGAGAGTAACCACCGTGCCATCTGTTGTGTTATAGTACTAGATAAGTTGCAGTGGGAAGGAGAGCAATGATGAGAGATTTGATCTGGCAAAAATGATCCTCTTCTTCCTGACAGACTGCACAATGTGTGAATTACAGTTTTAGTGTTACTAGTAGGCCCTCTGCTGGTCAGTTATGGTGCTTCACCAACAGTTTGAAGAAAATTAATATGCTATTATGTTGTTCCTTCTCAGCCCATCAGCAACGCTGATTTTATTGTTCCCGTGGAGATTGATGGTACTGTTCATCAGGTACTGTACACATACCAGAAATATTTTAATGAAGTTTATTAAGGGCAAGACTACCACTTTGTACCCCTGTGAAGACCCTGCAGAGAATGGCTGTGATTCAGTTCAAGTAATCCAGGATAGGCTGTGTGTATTCTGTTGGCCTATTCATGATTACTTGCACTGGGTGGCAGCTGCTGGACTGGTAAGAGTATACAAAAAAAGTGGATGACGTCTAAACTGTAAGTGGGAATGATGCTTTTTAAAGATGGCGATTATTCTGCTGAGGATTTGTGATAATGAAAGAAGTGTGTAGCAGGAATACTTCTGTAAAACTGTTCTCGCACTTAACAACATAGTCAAAATACGACTATAAATTACATTGTGAAGATTATAGTAAAATGTGCTGTCCAAACAAATGTGTACTTGCAGTGTTTGTCTGATGTTCCCATTATGCCATGCATGTTGATTTTCTTGGACCTAGCCTAAAGTCTGCTTTGTGTCTTGCAGGTGTATGTGCTGAAACGACCCCATGTGGATGAGTTCCTTCAAAAGATGGGAGAGCTGTTTGAATGTGTGCTGTTTACGGCCAGTCTTGCCAAGGTGTGTTCACACATGGCCACGTTTCCTTGTTCAAACGTGCTTTTGTAACAAGCCAAGGACACCTATGGAACTGTGAACAACATTTGTTTGCTTGTTCTGGTCTGTAATTTCCATGTGCACCTGCTGTATGAATATTCACACTCCCTCTGCTTTGCTGTCCATCTGTTTGCATCTTAGCCAGTAATGCATGGGTAAGTTTTAACGAATGAGACAGAAACACCCAATGTGGTGTTTCTCTGGTATCAGATGTCTCTCAGGCTGAGTTCAGTGTCAGTGGTGCTTGTAGTGTCCTAGACTAGTATTTCCTGAGGCATCTTCCCTGTCAGGTAGACACATCTGTGAAGGATAACCTGCTCTACTTCCTTTTCAGTTTTTACAGTTTTGTTCTGTTAGTGTTCTAGTTGAGGCATGTGACTGCAAAGATATGCTTCACAGTTTCTCTACATGCATTGTTGTAGTTGGCAATCAGGAAAAGTGTTAAGTGTAGTTTTTATAGCAGTGTAACATTTTCCTGTGTGTTTGGCCTGGGCAGTATGCAGATCCTGTGGCAGACCTGCTGGACCAGTGGGGTGTGTTTCGAGCGCGACTCTTTAGAGAATCCTGCGTTTTCCACAGAGGAAACTACGTCAAAGACCTCAGCCGGCTGGGGCGAGAGCTCAACAATGTCATCATCGTTGACAATTCACCCGCCTCTTACATTTTCCACCCAGAAAATGCTGTGAGTTCCTAAACCACCAACATATTTGTCACAATTAGAAGATACTTTTATTCTGCTGTGGAAAATGGCTTTTTTTTTTAAGCTGAAGTTAAAGTGAAGGACAACCAAATGTCCACAGCTCCTCCCTCTTTGTGTGACAGATCAGTACTGGAACAAAGTTAGCTTGTGTCAGTCTTCATACACATTGATGACAATAAAGAAAACGTGACAGCTTAAAGATCCAGTGGCTTTTATTTTTTCCAAGAACTAGAACTAGTTAGAGTATAGTTGTAATTTTGGCAGCAAAGTCTTAGTTGATTTAAAACACAAAAACAAATGCAGGTGGTTTCCCTTTCTCCCCAGGTCCCAGTCCAGTCCTGGTTTGACGACATGAATGACACAGAGCTCCTGGACCTGCTACCTTTCTTTGAGGGACTCAGCAAAGAAGAAGAGGTTTATGGAGTTTTGCAGAATCTGAGAAGCAGGTAGCAGGACATGTCACAGCGCCGCCTGTGCTCGCCCTCTCTGCCCCTCTCTGCCACCACTTGGCTCAGACTCAGGCAGATCCTCCCATATGTGCCCCTCTTGTATCTACCCAAGGGGACGCCTTGAAGTCTCACTGTGGAAACCTTCATGTAACCCCGTCTCTGCTTGCATCACCTGGTGACAGGCTACCTTCTGAGTGCCATCAAAAAAAAAAAAAAATAAAATAAATGCTCAATATCCCAGGAGCACTGTGTCTCACAAAAACCACACCAGAAAGTGTACGGAGCATCATAAGTTGATGATGTTGGGGACGAAATACTAAGAGGAATGAACTCTGGTCTTTTCAGACCAACAAAGTTTTACTATTCGATAAAGTGCTTCTTTTCAAACCAACAAAACAAACAAAAAAATTTTTTGTCTGAAACTTGTGTGGTACCACACAAAAGTCTGAAAAGGTTTTGTCCTCATATTGTTGCTATGCAGGCAGTTTCTTGTAGTAGAAAGGACTGTGATTCTCTTTTCTTACTGAATGAAGTGCCTTGTGTGGATGTTGTTTATATGGGGAGATATTTTGTACATGGGAGAGTACTTCAGTCCTTTACACACAATATGCTTTAAAGTGGACACAGAAGTATCTTTGTATAAGGTTTTTACTTTAGTTTTGATTTCAATCATCAAACGCTGGGTAAATGTCTCGGTAGTATTTGTTTTCCCCTCAGTATACTTGTGCCATTATCTAGATGCGACTTTGTTTCTTTCTGCTTTCATTTTATATAGAAATAGTTCATGTTTTAGGCAAAGGAGTATGTTTGCAGTTGTAAACCTTGCATCCCACCGGCAAGCACAGTAGCGCTTTGTGTTTGATAGTTTTGATCTGATAGCTCAGATCAAATCGTGCCATTTATCTTTCTTTCTCACCCAACTCTTGCTTATCTCATGTTATTTGCCAAATAAGAAAATTATTTTTTAATAGGCTTCATATCTTTAACAGGTCTTCAAGTATAACTTTTAAACCATTAGTAGTAAATATAGCGTTATAGGTTTTGTTCTTTTGACATTAGGTCATGTATATTTTTAATGTTACGACGTCTTTGTTTGTGTTGCGCTTATACTTTTCCAATGTTAACACACCACCCACTTTTTTTTTTTTTCTTGTTGGCACACTGTTAAATGGCGCAGCTCCACCCTTGGAAAACACAGTTGCAAAGGTATCCCTTTTGTTTGTGCAAATGGTGTGGGATTTCATAGTAAACGGGTTGAGTGCTATGCTTTTTGTTTTTTATAGTTTTTTTTTTTGTTTGTTTGTTTGTTTCAGCTTTTTTAGTTTTTAGGGAGTGTCAGATCGAGTCTGGACAGTGTTGAAGCCACGTCATTCTCTCCTGATTGACATACGGTGATGGCATGGCCTCATCCAGCCCTGGTGTAAAACCAGTGGAGACAGTGTGTGGTGTTTACCTTCACAGACTTTTTTTAAACTGCTGTTCACCTCAGTGCCTACTTTTGAGAGGAGCCACGCAAACCGAATGCTGCAACATTAGCTACCATGGCAATAACCTTTTCCTAGGAGAATTTCCATCCCAAGTGTTTGGTTTGTGTGTTGAGAGCACTTGACAAGGCTAGGCAGATAGGTCTGTTAACACTAAGACTGGCCTGCTTATCACAATGACTTTGTGTTGAGCAAGCCTTCATACATGATTGGTTGAAAAACTGGATATATACCCTTTGATTAGTGATTAGAAAGTCCAAATGTTATTTTTCAGATGAATATTGCCTGGTCTACTTCAGTAACAGCAGCCAAACAACCTTATATAGTGAACTACATTGCCATAGTTATCAGCTTCTGTTGTGAAAGAAAGTAAAAAAAAAAAAAAAAAGGGGGGGGTTGCCTTCCAAACTTAAAGATGGGTGTTCAGTCCTGGCCCATCCAGTCCGCCCTCTAAATGTGAGGGGTCAGCTCCAAACTGAAGCACTACTGGGGCACTGCAAAGGACTGATGAACCTCATCACGGCATTAAGGCCTTACTGCTTGTGAGGGCACAAAGCAATGGTTTTATTTCCATTTTAGTATTGTCTCATTAGTATTTTCTTACAGAGTGGGAAAGCAGCTGGACCATATATGGTCAGGTGAATTAACAATGTGAGACAATAAAATGAAGCAATGAAAAACTCTAGTGCCATCTAGGGATTGTACACGCCAACAAACCTCATTTGCTTTATTGCTTAGTTTATGGGTTATGATGTTAAATTCAGAAGACCTACACTACTTCATAATTTCCACCATTTTTCCTCTCCAGTTGAAAGACTGGTGCTCCTTCAGGCATATTACAGCTTTTTTATTTTACTTTTTCAGAAGCATTTGTGTTGGTGATGAGTATTCTGCTCATGATGATGGTTTCAGTGCAATGTCCTTTTCTAGGAAGTGTTAGGTTGACTTCTCAACCTCTCTGAGTACCTTTCTCTGAAAATGTTTGTATCGTGATATTTTTCTACTGACCTTTTGTCAATATTTGGTTTGAAAAGTTGCATATTGCTCATTATATCCTGCTCTTTGTCCCTCTTCCTGTCAGAACCATAATCTCCCTCTCTTGCCTTTGGTAAGAATTCTCAGTCAGGTCTCATCTTTCCTATCAGGGGACAAGCATGTGTTTGTGTGCACAGCCATGTTGTGTGTGTGCTTCCTTAGTTTTTCCTTTGTGCTTCACCTCATTCATAGTCACACCTTCATCGTTTTGTACTGATTTAACACCAAAGTTCTACAACACTTGAGTTAGTCACTTTTTTTTTTTTATTGGATCAGGTTCTTCACTCTTTTTTTTTTTTTAACACTTGTTGGTTGGCTTACTTTGAGTGTGGCATTGCCGTCATCCTGAGCATCAGTTTTTTTTCCCTTTTCCATAATAAAATTTTACATTGATAAAATTTGTCATGTTTTTTCTAAAATACATATGGTAAATGAATTAAGTCCAAAGATGATTGGTTTAGCCCAGTGTCATTGATATTTGTCTGTCACAATTGACAATGTACCTGATATGGATCAACTCCAAAAGGCATGAGAGGAAAATTTTAGTTTGTCCTGTTCATTTATTTTACAGTGGACCTGATTTTTTTTAACAATTTCCTTAGAAGATATGTTACAATAAAGCACATTTTTATAGGGAGATGTTGCTTTTCTTCTGTCAGACTAATGGCAAACCGCATTTCTATTTATGTTAAGTGAGCTGGCAGTAGCTGCTAAATACTCCACAATAGATTGCCAAACAGCTGCAGAGCTTTTTGGCTGAAATAGTGACCCGTTTGAGCCGAAAGCAGGCTGTGACAACTGAGAAACTGGAATCAGAAGTAAAAGTGTGAATTGTAAAATCAAAACAATGAAAGAGCTGAACTATGTATGTAGTCGTAACAGTATTCTTACTGTGGTATTGCTACTTTTACTTAAGTAAAGAATCTGAGTACTACTGCTGTATTATTTCACAGTTGATAAGTAGCTGGTGGATTATTAATTAGATTGACCTTGACACTCTTGTATGGCTACAGATGCAATGTTCTGGGAAAAAAAAAGATTGAGGCAGGTGTTCATGTTTAAAACGTTTATCTTCATCTTGATTCATAATGTGAAAAATGAAAAAAATAATCATACTTGATGAAACATGGATTTTATGTTGGCTTATTTTTCATCAGAAATCAGGACAAGGTAATTTGCATAAAAAGATTAAAAAGACAATTCATTAAGTGACAGGAAATGACGGACACAAGTGATCTTAAAAAAAATGTATGCTATCGCAACCCGAACATGGTATAACGTTTAACTCACACAAACCAATTAAAACTGCTTCTATATTAGTAGCTGTAATGTGATTCATCTGGACTAGTACAAAGTTGAGCTAACCTTGTGTGTATCCACAGTATTTCCATACATAATCTATATCCACCTCACACCTCCCACTCATGTCCAGATCTTTCAACCGACACTGCTGTTCCTTGAGAACGTGGTGTTCATTAACACGAACTGCTCACACTACTGAAATGAAGCCAATAAATTAATCGCAATAATAATACAAAACTTCATTACCATCAGTTGTATACAGTACCAGTGATGTATGTGCTACTCTGCATCAAAGACCATGATGTGTACAAAGAGTCGAGCTGAGGGGAGGGGGTCTCCGTCCTGATTGAACAAAGGCACATGCCTGTATCCTGTGTGGGAGCACAAAGTGGCTGCAGTCAGAGATCAGAAAAAGGAGAATATGAAGAGCTCTTTGTTCCGCATTTGAATTGAGGAATAGATCAGTCTCTGTTCTCACACTTCATAAACGAACAAAGAAATATCTGTGGTTTTACGTCACAGAGCAAAGAAGGACCTCATAAATCCACTGTCAGTTGCTGAACTTACCCATTTTTAAGCTGTTGAATGGAAGTGTGTATTGTCCAATGAAATCATTGTCAGTCACATAGTCATAGTCTTCCACAACAAAGCGCACCAAGGCCAGGTCGGGCACATACACATCCAACTGGAAGCTTTCATTCCACGCAGGGTTAAAACCTACGACAGAAGAGCAACTTGATGTGTCACATTTGTGTACACATTTCCCTTTAAGTTGATGAAACCGATATTTTACTCAATCTACACTCAATAACGACTACACTACCAGTCACAGGTTTGGACACACTTTCTCATTCAATTCAGTGGCAAAGTGTGTCCAGACCTTTGACTGGTAGTGTGAGTGAAATCATGCTTATGGACACTTGATCAAATGGATTAGGAATGTAAAACTGAACTCTCTCTGTTAAAAAAAGTATTCAGACCTTTAATTCAGTATTTGTAAGAACAGTAACAGCTCTTTGTAAAAAGAAAACGGTACCATTGTTTTCAATATGACTGGTTTCTTTCTCAGCAACATCGGCTGGCACTCCATAGACCTCCACCTTAACCAGCGGGTCCGCTATGGAGGATTCATTCTTGCTCAGCTGCTGGCCTGATATAATCTGATGGCAGGTGGTGATACATCATGTCAGATACAAAACATCTTCTATAACATGAACCCTTGGCTGAAAAATGCCACTGTGTGCGTTCACTGTGAAATCCTCACCATGACATGGAACACCTTGTGCTTCAGCCACTGTCCTCGGGCCAGCGTGATGGGGTCAAATTCTGTGGCTACATCCCTCATGTAGGCCGGTTTCAGGATGTAGCCGCTCTTTCCATTTACCATGAATCTGCCCTGGTTCACATCCATGCCTGTGCAGGCCGTCTGGAAGTTTAGAGCCACTGGAACAGCAACAGTGATGACACAAAACACTTCATCACACATCAAGACATCCTACCTGCTGTATTATCAGACTGGACTACACAGTTTATCATTCCCTCCTCGTGTCAGTATATCATACCGATTTGGCAGCCGGCGTTCCAAAAGGGAACTGGGTTGTAGTTGGATGAGTTGGTCCTGGAGCCTGATGGATAGATGCGGCTCAGCTTTTCCACATTATGACGGATGAAGAAGTTAACTGTAGAAAACATGTCAAGTTATCTACTAACATGATCTGTGGTTACACTGGAAAATGCATGATTTTGTATATCACATGTAGCTTCTTCTGACAGAGGAACTGTTTCATTAAATTTACAGCACAGACTATGGACCTCTGCTATGGACAACAAAGTGCAGATTAGAGATCTAAAAAAATGGACTGAAGACTCTGCTTTCTTTGAAATGTGATGAATGCACTGACTGGGACATGTTTAAGCAGACCTGCAGTGATGATCTGCACCCAGCTTTTGCAGGGATATGATTGTGCCATGCAAACGAGTAAGAATCTACCCTAATACGCTGTGGTTCACAAACTCCGTATAGTCTGGCATTCACAGAAAGAAACACGCTTTCAAAGATGGAACTGCTTCTGATCTGCACACTATACAGTTAAAACTGGAAATTTTAAGAGCAGAACAGAACTATAAGTGGAAACTGGAGAGTACAATGGCTGCATATAAACTTGGTTGGGCCTGGTCAAGCATGAAAACTATAGCAGGCCTTCAGGATACTAAGACCAGAATGCATGCTATTGTAGATCATCTTACCTCAAATGCTGAATTTGCAAATGCATTTAATCTTTTTTGTTATTGTTGGTTTGGTGTTTTTTTTTGTTTTTTGTCTTTTTGATACTTTTGATTTTAGTAAGACATTCAGAAACTAAGTGAGAAGCTCAGAGACACTGAGTCACAAGGAAGTTGAAAAAGCCTTCTTATCGGCTAAAGTAAATAAAAGTCAGGAACCGGATGGAATCTGTGGTTACCTATTGAAACTTTGTGCAAAATCCTAGGGTCATTGCTCTGACCTCAACTGTAATGAAGACATTTCAAAAACTGGTGAGGTCAGGAATTTTGAAGCAAACTATGCCCCTACTTGATCCTTTGTAATTTAACTACAAACCTCATAGAGGAGTGGAGTTATTATTACTTAATTTGCTTTTCAAACATCTGGATGGAGTTGGGACTCATGCGAGGCTTTTATTTGTTAATTTCTCTTCTACCTTTGACACGATCCAGCCTCACATCTTGATTAAAAGAGAGTTTGATTCAGACAACAATTTGGCATGCTGGACTTTGGATTTCTTTTTAAACAGGACAAAGAGTGAAGGTGGATGACACCCTGACAGATAAAATATGTTCTTCTACAGGCTCACCACCAGAGTGTGTTGTCACCCATGCTATCTATACTATACACAAACATGTGCCAGAGTAGACAAGTTATGAAAAGTAACTAGTAACTAAAGTTATAAATGTAGTGGGTAAAAAGTACAAGATTTGCCTCTAAAATGTAGTGAAGTCAATGTATGAAGTAACAGAAAATATCAAAGTAACTTGAACCTGTCAATTAAAATCGCTCCTATGATTTTAAATGTTTAAAAAAAATCGATTTAAGTTCAACTCTATACTATTGTGTAATTTGTTTTCTAGATGTAAATGTTAAATTTTGTTTACGTTTGTTTCCAGGTCAGCCTTACATCTTCAGGTGTTTTGTTCTGTTTTAAGAAGTATTAATATGAACAAACTTCTAAGGTAAATCCTATGAACTCTTCCTCACCTGAGTCCTCTGCCAGGTTCGTGGCCTTTCTCTCCTTGAAGGACGCCATCTCATTGAAGCTCTGGTTTTTCCTGGAGTCCTCAAAGCTGTGGAACTGGACGCTCACACAGTAGATCACCATGGCCGACAGCTTTTTTGCTAGTTGAATCTTTTTTTTCCTCTACAAATTAAAATTTCAAGACAAGTAAAATGACATACCTACTAATGCATTGCTTTTTGTACTCTCCATTGATGCCACCCTCACCTTCTTTTTCTCTTCCCCCCTGTGTTCATTTTCATCATTGGACTCTTCCTCCTCTGTCACATTAGTGTCATCTGCCTCTGGCTGCTGCAGTTTGCTTAACCTCTTCCCTTTGAGTAGGAACTTCCGCTTTAGCTCCTGCAGGTATGTGCACACACACCACCAGTGCAGCTCTGTGAGTGAGTGGTATTATCACAACCATCTGTAATCACAATTTCTAGCCATGTTAAGGATCCTGACTTAATGAGTAGATACCAACCTGAGGAGATGGGAAGCGTGTGGGCATTCCCTTCCCCAGAGGAGAGGTGACAAGTGCACTGCCCAGGATGGAGCTCAGGTGGTGGGCCATGACCTCCTGCTGATCCAGACTGCAGTGGTTCTCCAAGGAGAGGATCACGGGGTAATCGGACGTCTGCCAACAATCAGACGGAGGGTGCCCTCAGACCAAGAAAACATGCATAGATGCTAATGGATATTTTATGATACTAGATACTAAATGTACCTTAAAGGCATACTCCTTGATGGTTCTGATCACATCTTTGAAGAGGATCTTGGAGGTGAGCGTGTAGGCGTGGTAGATCACTGGCTCACCATCTGATCCATCCCAGCAGTCCATCTCCACGCAGCGGCAGCCCCTCAGCAGAGCCCTGCGTGAGTGGCAACTAGTATTAGTGACTAAATTGATGCAAAAAGGCTCTGAGCAGCAGCCTGAAGGTTGTTATTGATAAACACCTGGGCACTCAGGTGACAAAGCACCAACTTGTTTATATAATGCACATTGTGATGAATTTGTCTGTGCATCAAGAATAGACAGAATGCAGCACATTAAATAAACAATATACCTCATACTGTATGATGTTATAGCCAGCACATATCAACCAAGGAATAAGTTAAACACATTAAAACTGAATCACTTCATGATAGGATGCTTTGCTCAAAACAGACACACCCTGCAGCCTTTAGCCCCTCCCACTAGGATAGAGGGATAACCCAAGACCAGGATTTGGACAAATATCTGCAAACTGCAGTGATATCACTGCAATATTACAGCAGTTGTTGAGTTCCTGAAGGTTAGATCAAAGCTTGTTACCTGATATAAGCCTCCGTGCTGCTTGGCCCTTTGAGCTGATCCTCCATAAGGTAGGTGTTGTGTGAGGAAGATATGAAGTAGTGGTTAAGGGGCTGGCTCATGTCCTGGTACACATCTTTGTGTTCAGGATTGAGGATCATGGTGCTGGGGTTCTGCAGGTACATGAGGAAGCCATCTTTGGACAGCAGCTTCTTCTCCTTGGCTGAAAGTGTACACAGACAGGGCAGCTGAATGTGAGAGTGGTGCATCAGAGCAACAGTGACTTGGGTTTCACTCACTTGTCCATGGACTATATGTAAATTCTGTCTCCCTTACAGCTAACTGCCTGCTGGATCTAGCTCCATAGTTAGCCCTCCCTTACAGCCTGCTGGATCTAGCTCCATAGTTAGCATACATGAGAGCGGTGCTGATCTCATTAATGACTAATGTTTCTCTGTGTCAAACTACTACACTGTGGTTTAAATCTCACATCACTTGGTACTGAGTCAGTGTGCTAACAATGATATCAGGCACACACCCAAACAAAACCATGTTATTTCAGATAAGTCACTGACCATTTTCATCTGGCTCGTACGTTTCAATGATCTTATGCGCATCAGCCAGTGTGGCTTTCTGTATCTGTTCCTTCAGCAGGTAGTCCACCAGGTTTTCAGGACTCATATAGCCTGATGTTTTAGCATATGCTGCATAGATCACGTCGATTTCCTCCCGATCAGTCAACAGCTCATAGAAATGTTTAATCTCCTCTCCATCCAGGAATCCAGATTTAGATGTGTCACATTTCTGTAGGGAGTAAATGTCACATGAACATGTTTTACATTTAACTTACTGTACTATTAATGTTATATTGAGAGGTAACTGATTGCTTTTAAAAATATGGGGATTAAAGTGAAGACTTTTTCCACAATAAATTAAAATTTCTATCAATGTATTATTGCAGAGGCATGTATTTAATCAGCACCACATTTGGCCTAAAAGTACAAGGATGCACTGGTTTCATTTCTCTTATATTTAGAGCACCACATGCCCACCTTTACAGTTAATTTGGTGTGCAATCATTCCGTTACATGAAAGAATTAACCAGGAGCAATGTTTCATAGTTGCTGAAGACTTCTATAAGTAATATTCATCACTGTCAACCATTAAAAAAACCACGAGTGCATCACCTTGAAGAGCATTTCTGCGTAGCAGCTATCTAGGTCCATGTTGATCATATTGAGAAAGTTCTTGACTTCTGGCAGACTCAGTTTATCATCGTTGTTCCTGTCTGCTTTCTTCAGGCAGCTGAAGATCCAACTGAAATGCTTGTAATGTAAGGAGTTAATATCATGACATCTTTGTCTACTTTCTCTCATTAGTTTTGACTCCCACCACAGGAGCTCCTGAGATACACTAGGAGCAACATGCGTTAAATCAGTGTGCAGCAGGGGATCCTAAACCTGTCTGATTCAATCTTTGCACCAACTGGGAAGTGTGAGCTCTTACATCAGACTGTTCATTCCAGTGAATTCCTATAAATCTCTAGTATTTACATTGTACCTATAATGACAAGGATACTGCTTTGTTTTCTGCTGGGAGTCGAGGTTGTTTATGTTTGAGATGATTTTGTCCAGACTGTTGACCCACTGCTTGGCCTCCTCGGTGGAGCTGGCGATGAGGTCCAGGGTCTTCTGGCGGCCCTTGAACATGATGGAGAAGCAGCAGCCCTCCTCCTGCTCTTCTGTATATTTCCTCAAGGCCTCTGAATGACGGCCCATTCGCACTTCGGAGACATCATCAAGTGCAACTGAAGGTAGGGGGAGAATCACAAATGTTGTGGTGTACTTATAGTCTTTTAAATAAAGGAATTCCTTGAATGTCTAACTCTATTAAAACAAGCTGCTCTTTTGCATGTTAAGTATCTTTAGGCAAATAAGACCAACCTGCTTGGTAAACACAAGCTTCTCATCACAAGTTTAATTTTTTCAGCAGCGGCCTCTTATTTCTGAAGCCAGTAAGGTGCAGAGTTGATACTGCACTTATCAGATTATGAAGTAAACAAGTGGAAAATACAACCAGAGCTACGTTAAACCACACCTCCACACACCATAAAACAATTTACACTCTCTATAAACACACCGACAGAACATACCGCTGCTATCATGAGCAGCCCAGTTGTGTTTAATACCAAGGTCTTTAAAACTGAAATAATCTTTTATAGCTTTATGACCAGTCCATGAAAGAAAAACTGAGAGATGTCAAAGATGGTTTCAGTTGTGTCAGCACTGGAAACACAAATGTGCTAGGTATTAAGTAAAAAATTATATAAGTAACAGCTGTGATGCATGTAACCACCACAACACCAGAGGTCTGCTGGCATACAGACACAGGTGAGATGCTAGGACAGAACTCACAGGTCTGGTTTGTCTTGAAGGTCTTCATTGATTCCTGCCACATGGTCCTGCAGTCCTCCTGCAGTCTGAAGTAACGTTTTTTCTTCCAGGACGCAGAGCGGATCTTGACAAGCTGTCCCCCTTTCAGGAGGAACTGGAGGTCAGGATCGATCTCCATACCTGTGAACCCAGGAAGCAAACAGCAAAACTCTGAGTGAATATTACATTTTGTCAAACCTTATGAGCCAAAGCCTGTTTTACACACTGTATATGTGAATGGAATCAGGCAGTCAGTGGTGGAAGAAGTACTCAGATTGTTAATTAAACAAAAGTGGAAATACCACAGTGTAAAAATCTTGCATTCAAAATGTTACTTAATAAAACAAAATAGAGTATAATCAGAAGATTAATTGATCAGTGATACATCAGTAATTATAACTGAATAATATGATGTAGATCAGTGTAAACTGTGCCATTTTGCATAATGATTATTTTCACTTTTGGTACTTTAGGTATCTTTGGTGCTAATACTTGTGTACTTTTACTTAACCTGTTTCTGGAAAGAAATTATAAACTAAAGTTCTCAAATAAATGTAGTGAGTAAAAAGTACAATTTGTTTCTCTGACATCTAGTAAAGTTGACATACAAAGCAACAGAAAATTTAAATACTCAAAGTACAGGTAGCTCAAAATTGTAGTTGAGTAAATGTACTTCGTTACTTTCCGCCTCTCCATACTGTTACCCTGCCAAGCAGGCGACCAAGGCAGGATGATCAAAAGCCATTCACCCTGTAACTTTAAACCTAGACAACCCTTTGACCCCCCCCATCTGCTACAAGATGTGCAGCCTACCTAGGAGCTTTAGGTTCGCTTCTATCTCGTTCTGCTTTCTCGCACAGTGGAGTAAATCCTCAGATGTGCTGAGTCCAGGTTGTCGTTGGAGGCATGTCATGGTGCCCCAGGCGCTAAAACACTGCCAGTCTGTGTTCACAAGGCGTTGGGACCGACCGGTGTGTGGAAGGGGCGTATACCAGATATACTCAGTCCACTGTTGTCTCTGTCAGGACTTCCTTTATGCAGAAAGCTGACTATCAAACAGTCTACTTCAGCCACGGTGGCTACAGGATACCGCTGTGTACAAACCCGCAGCAGGTGGTTCTAAACTTTTATCAGGTTTATGCTACTGTTGGTGTATTAATGTCATTTTAAAGAATATTTCTGGAAAACGAGTTGAACCATTGTGAGGTTGGTTTGACCGACATTTCCGAAGACTCACAAACGTCGCAGTTTACACAACACTAAAGTTAACGTAATAAGATGGAAATATGTTTAAAATGTGTCTAGGTTACTATTTGATCAGTTGATATAATGCGTTCAAAGTAATGTAACAATCATATGTAAACGATACATTTTAATTAGCTTGTGTAAGATTTAATGTTATAGCCTGCTGAGTGTTGTCTAACGGGCGCCATCTAGTGGTGACATGCGAAACTCCAGGTGCCGTGATTTAAATCCACCCGACCAGGCCAAACAAACACCATAAGGGCTGGCAAACAGGTCAACAAACACACTGAATGCTAAGAAAAGAGAAATACGGGCCTCTTTTTAACACCTTCTTATAACTGTGCTTGCTGTAAGGGGGTTGTTTCTTCTTATGTTGAGCTGCCCTGGTTTGGTTTGGCAACACTTGTTTGTTTGAAGTGATGTAAACCAGGATGAGAGAGCCACACCTTCTGGTAGAGTTTAAACGAAGCTTATAATGTATGCTACTAGTGCTTTAATGTATTGATTGAATGTATTTCGTCCCGGGTAGCAAATATCTGCAGTAAGCGAAGAGAAAGGTTTGAACCAAACAACTAAAATGTAAGATAAATTAATAAGTCACTTCATTTGCTTCACCATTTTGGCCTGAGGAGTTTTCAGTGTTGGAAAATGCTTTAACAAAATCTGCCAAATCCCCATCTCTGTTTAATAGGACTATACACAATTAAATGGAAATTCAAAACTGGTCTTACCATTTTTCTTCTTTTCGATCCCGTTAGTTTCCATCCTTTCTGATTTTTTTCTCTTCTTAAAGCAGCCAAAACTTGTTTGTCCTTGTTTCATGTGATGTGCGGATTCATTTAAAGTTTCTCCTTTCCATGCGCGCAACTGAGCAAGAAAGCGTGGGCTTGGGATTGTTGGTTGGAGTACACCAGACAAGGGCGAAGACACAAATAGTCTGAATGGTGTCAGTACTGCCGCAGGCTCCAACCAACACCGGTTTGACGAGCTGCACTGCTGATGTCACAACAGGGTTAGACCTTAACACCAGCTTTTGCCACTATGCTTGTTAACAAAGCTACTGTTTGACTTTTTATCGACTGCAGCGTTTGAACCAGATCACATTATTAGTTGGGGCAGATTTTTTTTCTTGGTCTCCTTTTCATGTGCAGTTTAGCCTTGGCAGAATAACACCACTGCAATCACTGGTGCGCTGCAGCTCTTGTGACTTCCCTTTCAGGCCTGGCTTACCCTCAGCACACTGTCAGCATAAGAATGAGTGGGTTTTAATGCAGCACCAGGGGGGAGAGCTTCCAAATTCCACAAGGTTCAGTGAAATGGGCACGAAGGCAGAGTGCAGCACGATATTTAGATTTGTATCAGTGCTGTGGATGCATGTGTGAAAACACAAAATGTAACGCGCAAGACCTCACTGCAAGTGTGTATTGTATTAGCCTATCTTTCATTATTCCCAGAAACAACAAAGCATGTTCTTTAACTAACAAAACATGGTATTGTCCTCACCCACAGATTATTCAAAAGCATTTACAGTGTAGGTTGGAAAAGTATGTGAACCCATAGACTATATGATATAAACAAAAGCTAAGGTAATAGCAAACCTAGAGTCAATAGTGTTGATTTGCATAAAGCTGAAAGAGTTACAAATTAATCTCAAAGAGTTAGATATTGTTTAGTTCAAGCAAGAACCACTGATACCAGCCATAGTTTGGATGGTTTTCCATCAACATATTCTCATGTCTCAGAGTTGTTTCAGTGACAAAGACCTACGTTATGCCCTAGTAACCAAAGGAAGTATCCCAAAGCGGAAAATGTCTGTAAGACCTTCATGAAATATCTTGGCAAGAGTGGTAAGATCTCATGTTAAGATAAAGCTATGATTTCCATCACTGAAGTTTACCTGAGCACAGCTAGCCTACCAATAAACCCCAAACATGTAGACTGACTTCTATTCAGTAGTGGGAAGTAACCAAATAGGCTACTCTAGCGTTCAATTTTAAAGTACTTGTATTTGAATTTTACTTTATTTACTGATTTGTTTGCTTGTTTGTTTTTACTACATCTATTTAACAACTATAGTTACAAGGTATTTTTCAAGGTTGTAGCCTACATGTCTAACATAGCTTGAGTTTATAAAAACATTTTTTATATAGTTTAAAATACCCTGCATTTACATCAATTATTTCATTCCAGAAATCTAATAATACAACATTGGGACCATTCTACATACATTTGTTACTTAGGTACCTTTTCAATACAGGGTTTTTACTTGTACTGGACTACTTGAGAACTTCATTCAGTAGTTTTATAGTGCAGTAGCCTATAATTAACGTGAGTAAACACTAACCCGGGTAAATGATCTAACTCGAGCAAATGGTCTTAATACTTCACCTTCCACTGTCGCTGTAGTATTTTGTGGATAGGCTTCTCAAATTTCACCGCACACCAACGATCAAAAATGTGGCAGTAGCTTCCCTGTGTGTACTCGACAGTTTTAGAGATGTGGAATATAAGAATAACCCGATGAATATCTCTAACATATTCCAGCTAACCGGAAAGTGTATGACATCACTTAATGCCATGGTCCACCTCGTTATGCTGTCTGTTTCCAAGTTTTTCGGACTACATCAATCATGCCGCGGACTCTGCCACACTCAAGATGGCGACATTCCAGTTCCTCCCCCAGAGTTCGTACGTAAAATGATGCGTCAGTCTCGCGTAAAGTTCTGTTGACAGGAGCGGCAGGAGTTGTCAGCGGAACTGCAGCGGCCAGCATCATCGGAGCCGAATGGAGTAATTGTAGCTATTGTTCCACAGTGTCTGTTATTATTTAGAAACAGTGTTTGCATCGTTGAAACAACGACACAATGGCAGACGACCAGTCTTCTCAATCTTGGTCAATCGACAGGGATGACTACGAACTCAATGAGGTGATAGGTGAGTAGCTTAGCTTGCTAATGTTAACGCCGTACCCTCCCTTGTCTTTACAGCGGCGTCTGCTACCAACTGCTACTATCCAGCTAGCATTGCATGTCTTGTAGCCAAGAGCTGTAAGTGGCCTTACAAGAGAATCGGCCAAACCAATTAACTGTTTCTGCTCGTTGGCGAGATAAAGTGAGATAGTTTCTTAGCATATCAGCACGAAGCTAAACGGCTAGCTATCGCAAATTGAAGCCTCGTCAGTTATTGGAGTAGGTAGTGGTTTTGCTGAAGGTATGATACGGCTGAGCCATTCATGATGCACACTAGTTCAGGTAACATGACTAATGATTTTTAACAAAAGAGATGATCCGATGTGGCATCTAACTGCAGTTTCCTATAATTTACTTAAGGTGGATTAATGTTACATACTTCATTAAGTGCTGTGTCATATTACAAATGACCAGAGTCCCCAGTCTTTAAAAACTAGTTTCTTTTAAAATTTGTACAAACATTTAGTTGAACTGTGACTACTGTCCTCAGAAGTCAAAGGTTTTTCTTTTACTAAACTCTGATGGATTCACCTTTAATGTCGTCCTCAGGGAGTGGAGCCACTGCAGTTGTCCAGGCAGCATACTGCAAGCCGAGAAAGGAGAAGGTGGCCATTAAACGCATCAACCTGGAAAAGTGTCAGACTAGCATGGATGAGCTCCTGGTAAGAAACCACAGCAATATGTGGGCCTGTATCTGCAAGCCATGTGTATGAATATGCAGTGGTGCCTGCAGCTGTAATCCTGTACCTACATTTTTTAAAAGAGATTTTGCTCAAGTTTTATGCCATTGCTTCTGGCGGTCGTTGTACGATAGAGAAATATACTTTTGCATTTATGGCTGAGGTGCTATCTGATATGATATAGTATCGCACACCCCTAGAGCGGATCACATCATTTCTACTGCTTTACGTGAGCCCTGCAACTTGGAGTGAGTAACAGCAGCCACACACTCACTTTACCTGCTGTAACATCGGGATGTGCAGGGTATTTTGTATTTATCACTCATGAGCTGCACTGGAGTGTTATTTTGTGGACTGAAAAAATGTAGAAATAAAAACAACTGGACTTGGTTTTAGGTCAAAAACGTTTCACCTCTCATCCAAGAGGCTTCATCAGTTCTGCCCAACCGGCGTTGAGACATACTGTAGATATTTATCCCCATCTCCTTTGATGGCCAACAATGTCCCCTAATGACTGAGTCGTTATAACCCAGTATCAGTGGCGTCATTACCTGTCTTTGTCGGGCAGAACTGATGAAGCCTCTTGGATGAGAGGTGAAACGTTTTTGACTTAAAACCAAGTCCAGTTGTTTGTTTTTTTCCTATGTTTTTTCAGCTTACTATGACCTGGATGACTGAGAATCTGCATGGACATAATTTGTGGACTGATTATTGTGCATGGGTTTAAGTGTCAGATCAATGAATCTCAGTGACCAGCTGAAGCACACCTTCTGAGAGCCACGTTGGTCATTGTGTGGAGAGTTGGTATGGGAGGGTGTTAATGAGAGAGAGCCATCTGAACTGAATGAGCTATGGAGGTGCTGCTCAAAGACCGTGTGTGTGCTGCACTCCAAGCTGTTGCGAGGCTCACCTTATTACCAGAAAATACAATATGTTATAATGACAAAATAGTCTACAGTATATCATAATAACATGAAATTATCTTGTTAAAACCAGCAAAGTATCTTCTTATAACGAGCAAAGTTTTAAGTTAAAACAAGATTTGTTTGGCAAACTGTAGGCAGTTCTTGTGTGTACTATGATATATAATTCTGCAGGCGCCACTGTGAATATGTGTGGGTCTGTTTGGTGGAAGGGTTGTGGGTTGGCGGGGTCAAGAACAGATCAAAAACATGATACCACAACCACCATTGGGTACTAGACCTGGGTCGATCAATAAGACGCAACATTAATAGAAAAGAAATGTGAATAAATAAGTTCCTGTTCATTTGCTACAATGCTTTTCCTAATGTGCGCTGAAAAAGGATTGTTCTCTTACACTTATCATTCCTGATAAGAGACACAACTGCAAACAGTTGGGTAAGATTGAAGTCAAGTCTGTTTCCTACACACACAACACAGCTCATTACAAACAGGTTGTCAGCTGGAAGCTGCCAATCTCCTGCCACAACAACAGTAAACAATTGGTTCTGCAGTAAACAGTGGTTAAATAATAATAATGGCTATATTAAATAACACGACTTTCCTTTTTAAAACCTGATTGTGACTGTTTTAGAGAGCCTCTAACTATGATGTAAACACAAGCGCACAAGGCGTCTTAAGGCCTTGCGTGACATTTTTACACTGTAGACTAGACATGCAGGATTTTGTTCAGTTGATCAGTGTTTTAGCAATACCCCATGCAGTTGGCTGACAAACTAAATGTTATCATACCCTGTATGGGTGGACAAGATGGATAAGGTATCTCTAACTTTATATCACAGTAGAGTGATATGTATAGTATATAACATGATTGTCTTTTTTTCTTGAAATTCCGTGTCAGTTTTTTGTTTAATCAGTGTGATTAATTCAAGGTTCTTTATTGATCCAAAAAGCCTGTAAGTTGAATATTTCTATAAAGCAGTCCTCCTCAGTGATCATTTATTTCACAGTATAGCTAGAAATATTAAATCCATTGTAACCCCTGACTGCAAATGTGGCTTGTTTCAGGACCTTAGTGATGCACTTGAAAGTAGTTTTGAGCACCTTATCTGGTTTGTTTAACTGTGCATGAGAATGAAGTTGACATGACATGTTAAAGTGGTACATCACAATGATGTCTTGGTTCCTCATCAGTTATTTCCTCCAGTGTATGCTATCTGATTTGAGTATGTGATGACATAGCTCTGTCATCGAGGACTTCTAGGTAAAAATGTCTTGGATTGTTGCCTCAGTGATTATTCCTTTGCCTGAACTCAGACACTGTGTACTCCTGATTCAGGATTAGGCCATTTACAGTGGTAGCAGGAATTCTGTTGTGTCATTCAAACCACACCAGGAGTAAGATTTTATCCAATAAAACTCAAGTCAAAATATCAAATTCTGTTTAAAATACAATGTGACCGAGCTTGCCAGCTTGTCACTCATAGTGTAACTTAAATCAATAGGGCTGCCCCGTAGTTGAGCGGTTGCGGTGCAGCGCATCATGCACCCAACTCTGTGCACAGCGTCACCAGGTCAAGTCTGACCTCCAACATTTGTCTCCTCTGTTTCTTGTCTGCCTCTCTGAGATTCACTATTAAAAATACTAATGGCAAAAATAGCTTAAAATTACTTTAATTAATTTAAAATTTGTGCTTTGCTGTGTGTCCCACCATCTCTGCTTCTCCCTTGACCCTGTATCCCTCATCTTCCTTCTCTATGCAGAAAGAGATCCAGGCTATGAGCCAGTGCCACCATCCTAACATTGTGTCTTATTACACGTCCTTTGTGGTGAAGGATGAACTGTGGCTTGTGATGAAGCTGCTCGGTGGTGGTAAGTCCTGGAATGTCAGAAGCTTTGCTTTTGAATTGAATAGCTTTCATCTAACTCTTATCTTTCAGTTATACCTGCCTTTTTTTCCAATAAGCTAGGATTTGAACTTGGCATGAATGTTTGGTTTGAGTCACCAGAGAACCAGTTTACATACTATGCTGCATGTAGACAACTGGTATATTTTCTGTGTATTTCTGTACTAATTGGTTATTTCTATGCATTGGTAGCTTATATAGTATACAGTAAATCGATTATAAATATGTCCTGCTCAGTCATTTCTGATGCCTCATTGGTTCTTTTTTGTCAGTAGCAGCAGAGAACCTGCAGTAATGGTTGACTCTGCCACTAGCAATGAAAACTACTATATGTAGAGGTTATTACAGAACATAATAATAATAATGAATATTGATGGAAAAATGCTGACCATAAATAATATTGAAGGGTTTGATGTCATTAATATTTTAAGGACTATGACTTTAAATATTTTTTGGTTGAAATATGCGTTCCTTGGTTAAAAGTGAGTATAAAGCCACGTTTCTCTAACTTACAACATTTCCTCAATGTAGCTTTCAGAAACCATTTAAAATTTGTTAGCATGATATTTGACAATATTCTGGGATAATTTACAGCAGTGTGAACATTTTCCCACTACATAAAGCATATTTCCTACTGCTATTATTTAAAGCTATTGATGTTTCTGATCAATATTTGACTTTATTTTTGACTTTACATGACATACGTGATGTAGAATTTTGCATGACTTGACTTGCTTTATTTATAGTAGGGAACAGACTTGACTTGCTTGATTCTCACCACAGTAACTTGAGACTTGCTTGTGTCTGCTTCTAAGACAGGATCAACTTTCACATTCACAGCTCACTAACAGTGAACGAATCCACCCATAAACAAGCAACAGACAACAAAATAGAAGTGCTACTTTAGTATAAATATTTCATTCATGTGTCATTTATAGGGTTGTGCTGAAATCTCATGCCATGAGGTCTCGCAATATTAAATGTGTTCTTGATGAGGCAAAAGCTGTCTTGTGACATCAGTACATAAAAGAACCAGTCCAGTATGAGAGTGTGTGACGTGCATTCAGACTGATCTAGTAAAAACTTCCTGCTGTGTTTTTAATACATGGCGCTGCATTTGTCGGCGTGTACGATACGGCCACGTTGTGACAAGTCGGCCAAGTGGCTACGTTAGCGGTAGCTACTCTACCTTAGCACCAATTCTGCCACGTGTGTGTGTGTGTGTGTGTATTGATTGATTGATTGATTTAAAAAAAAAAACAAAAAAAACAACACAGTTTAACAACCCACATTAACAAAAATGCATGGCGTGTCGTTATGGCGCGTTAATTTTGGCCCATATTTGGCAGTGAATAGCAGTGAATGCTCATGTTAATAAGATAAACAAAATAGTCTTCTTTCCGTGGGCGTCCACATCCCGATCCTCCCCCATACATGATTGATCAGCGCAGCACCTTTGCCAGATGATGTCACTTTGCAGTGAGGGTGAAGATGGCATAGACACACAGGTTCAGTTAGAAGTTAGAAGCTCTTGCACAGTTCATGCACAGTTATAATGTCTGAAGAGATGTGTGAAATCATACAGGAGAGTGGCAAAACCTTTTACACTGCTTTCATATTGTCGTCTTTCACTGCATGTGATAATTCATACTCAGCAAATAGAACTGAAGTGACATTTATTACAGGATGATTAGTTAAAACATTTCAAAATGTACCTGCAGTGTCTGGCATTTTGTGACTTTGTCAAATAAGACAATTTTTCTAGTCATATATTTCATCACTGAGCGTTTCTTAAGAATAGTGTTAAAATATTGTCCTGTTCTCGTGAACCCAATATCGTGTATTGTCTCATGAGCTAAGGGTATCGTCACACCCCTAGTCATTTGTATGTACAAGTTTGTAGGTTTAGGGGGTGTGATGCTGCAGTGGTTGCAGTCTGTAGAATTATCTGTTTTGTGATGTTACAAAATAAGTCAGTGCTACTCACCGTGGCTTAAGATATTTGCCAAACTGGAGATTGCTTCCATGTGCTGTCAGCATGTCTTGTGACATGCCTCTGTCTCTTTCTCTCAGGCTCAGTGTTGGACATTATCAAACATATCATCTCTCGTGGAGAGCACAAGACTGGAGTATTGGATGAGGCCAGCATTGCCACTATCTTGAAAGATGTATTGGAGGGGCTGGAGTACCTTCACAAAAATGGGCAAATTCATCGGTGAGTTATGATGATATGTCACCAGGCTGCAGGGCAGTGCTTTGTTATGACTGTACACTGTGTCAGTGCACTCTGAATCCAGGCAGTCACCATGTCCCACCATACACTCGAGTCCTGGCTTACTCCACTACAGAGCCTTTTATGTCTTGCATATAGGCATGCAGTGTGAACTAGACCTCACTTCTTCAATATTTAATACAATGAAAATGCATAATTGATGAGGTTTGTTTTACATAAAGACCTCTCTTTATCCTCTGTGCCTTGTTTAATAGCAAGTGTAGCAGTTTCAAATGAACAGCCTCTCTATTCAGACTCACTTAAAATAATCTATTTTGGAATATGTATCACTATGTTTCAAAATAAAATGAAATGTATCTGATGTTACAGATTTTGTGTGTGGACAGTATTTCAAGAGACAAAGAGAGAAGCTCACTCCTCTAATCGGGAGAGGTGGGGGAGGGAGGGAGGGAGGCTGGACTCAGCTTAATACACTTTGTGCAGAGTTTGCACTGAATGATGCAAACAGAAGTCAGGTGCATCTTTAACATGTTTGTGTCCAGGAGCTGCAGGTCATTGTTCATTTGTAGAGTCAGTGTGCACAACCTAGCCCCTCCTCTGTTGGTGCAGTCATTGATTTGTGACATCGTTTTTTAATCTGTGCATCTTGCTGTAATCCTCCTCTTCATACACAGAGATCTAAAGGCTGGGAATATTCTTCTTGGGGAAGATGGCTCAGTGCAAATTGCTGGTAGAGTCTTTTCTCTTTCTACTTTGGTTTTAAACCCTTAAATGAGATGTAGTCATACTCTGAAGAATGTTTCTGACACCGAATGAACAAAGGAAGCTCAGATGTCATAACAAAAATACTTGTAAACTGTGCATTTATCTTTTTTTTTTTTTCCTTGTTTTATACACACAATTATGCACATACACCCCCTAGACTTTGGCGTCAGTGCCTTTCTAGCAACAGGAGGAGACATGACTAGGAACAAAGTTCGGAAGACGTTTGTGGGGACGCCGTGCTGGATGGCCCCAGAGGTCATGGAGCAGGTTGGAGTCTTGTTTCTTTTTCTCTGTGCTTCCCCATAACCCAGCTAGAAAAGGTTCACATGGTTTTGGTTTTAATCTGCAGGTCCGTGGCTACGACTTCAAAGCTGACATCTGGAGTTTTGGGATAACAGCCATTGAACTGGCTACTGGGGCTGCACCATATCACAAATACCCACCCATGAAGGTAACTTACAGTATTTTATGTACTTACATTGTCTTCAAGAATACATGCCAAACATAATTGTCCTGTCAACAGCTGTTTTTTTTTTTTTTTTTTTTCAAAAGGCCTGTCAAACAAAGAGGCTGAGACAACGTTAGAGTTCTGTATTCTGCTACAGTCACTCGTGCATATTATGGACATGCTGATGTATAAAGAAACATTTGGGATTTATTTATTTATATCCAGACAGCCTCCTCAGGTTGACCTGGTAAAGGTAGTCTCGTGTTTTGTTTAGTTGTTGTATTTCTTGTACTTGACAGATAATGTTATACTTGTTTACTGACTAAAGCTGGTATTTGCATGTCTGTAGGTGCTGATGCTGACTTTGCAGAATGACCCTCCCTGTCTGGAGACGGGCATCACAGATAAAGAAATGGTGAAGAAGTACGGCAAGTCCTTCAGGAAGATGATCTCTCTGTGTTTACAGAAAGATCCTGAAAAACGGTCAGTTGGTCCCAAGACCTTGTTTTTTTTTTGTCTAATGATTAAATTGTGTTAGTTTTGCTTTTGTTTTTCATTAGATTCCTCAGTTGTGAAATGAGGAGCATTATGTCTTTTTCCCATTTAGGCCAACTGCTGCTGAGTTGCTGAAGCACAAATTCTTCACAAAAGCCAAGGTGAGCCATGTATCACCTTTATATAAATAAAATATTTTTGCATGTTTCGGAGCCAATATTTGTATTTCTTGAACAAAATCTTTCTCTTTTTGTCACAGAACAACGAATACTTGCAGGAGAGGCTTCTCCAGAAAGGCCCAACAATAACGGACCGATCAAAAAAGGTTTGTCATCCATTACAAATATACTGACTACTCAGTAGCTAAAGATTTGATGCATATCAGAATTACTGTATCACACTGCAGTGGTGTGCTGTCTTGTTCAGGGTGTGTCCTATTTTCTCGACTTTGTGCACGCTCCGACATGCCTGTGAAAAGGAATAAAGAAATCATGGATGGCTCAGTATGAAGTATTGCTTTTTTTGGCATTGTGTAGGTGCGCCGTGTGCCCGGCTCAAGTGGCCGTCTCCACAAGACGGAGGACGGCGGTTGGGAGTGGAGCGATGATGAACTGGATGAGGAGAGTGAGGAGGGCAAAGCTGCTGTGGCAGGTCTGCGGGTGAGACTGCATGTCTGCTTCTTCCAAGAGTCAAACCATAATATTAAGAGTCAGCAGGTGGTGCTAATAGTCAAGTTTGAGATTGTATTTGTTGAGGCCTCTTGACTCAGCGCCATTATTGTTTATGTTTACTCAAGTAAATCAACTAAGAAGCACAAAATTCTCAAACATCATTCAACTAAGAGATAACTTGCATTTTTTTGTAGGTTGCTTCAGTCTCGTGGAAGCTAATGGACACCGTTTATATTGAAGAATTAAAAAAAATTCACATGCTGTTGTGCTCTTATAGTTATTTACTTATAATGATGAAAACCTGTTGCAGTATTTCAGTAAAACGGCATATCAAATTATTTTTCACTGTGTTTTCACACTCGGTTTATGTCTCCTGACTGTCGGTTAATCTTAACTGATGTCAGTGTTCACTGTCACCTACCTTGTGTCAAATTCCTTCAATCCTACAGTAGTCAATACACTGGGGAGATAAAATAAGAATTGCATGTTTTTAATCCTGATGATTTATCATGTCCATTCTGCAGTCACCCAGAGTGAAGGACGGGTCCCAGAATATGGAGGTGAGTCCATGTGTAGTGGACATGACCTGAAAATCTAGATTTATTGCCTTGATACAGAGATCTGCATGACTGTTTTATGAGTATCCTCTTTTTTGTGTGTATGTGATTGTTTTTCAGTTGCTTTCAAAGTGATTGATTTATCTGCAAATTTGTTTGTCTTAGCATTTCCCACCAGCAGATGGCTCTGCAGGACATTTGCAACCACCTGGTGCCACAAATCAGAGCCCTGCGAATATGGGCCATGCAGGAGAGGATGCTCCACCACAGGCTCCCACTCAAACGAGCCCTTCACATGGACCCACTGCTCAGGTAAAAAATTAATATGGAGAGTGCTAGTTAGCCCAGGCAAATGCCAGTTAGTGACGTTCGATTCTTATGGTTACCTAGGATATGTATTGGTGACTAGACAACAAGAATTGAACCTTTCAAGTTTTTCTGTGTCCAGCAGAGCGAGTTCGAACAGCTGTGTGCTGCCGTATCACGTCAAAGAAGAGCATTTTTTTTAATCCTGTGACTGGTATCAGCTTTATTTATGTGATCCTTTACAACATCATAGAATGGTTTATTGTCTGATATTGTTAGTTTTTATTTGTGTATATGTTTTTTCAAATGAATAAACTGCAGGTCACCAACACATTTATAGCCTATGTTGTGCAATAGTAGCTTATTATATGTAACTTTTATAGTATAACATATGTAATGTTATGGTAATCCCTACTTAACAGTCGCCACAGGCTGACAAGCTAAGGCTAACAGCTAACAAAACTGGATCTACTCTACTGCGAAAGGGATAAGCCCCTGTCCCATGCACAGCTGTTGCAGTATCCAACACATATAGGCAGTGTAGAGGGAGGGCAAAATTAATGGGAGGACGAGTTTAGTACTGCTAGCATCAGCAGAACAAGTTTGAACAAGAGCTCATACTCATTCCCACCCACTCTGTATGAGTTTTGAGGCCAGCCACAGCAGAGCGAGTTCGAACAGCTTTGAATGAGTTGTACTGATACTGATGTACTGAATGGTGTTAGAAGCAGTACATACAGCTATGCGCGTCTCCTGCTGCACTGCTGAAAGCTAAACTTTGCCACACAGTACTCAGGTGTGTTTTTTTACGCTATATATGGTCGAGATGCTTCAATTTATTTAGCTGGTAGTTAGGTTGGCATCATGTAAAAGGTGAATTTGAAAACCCTCGCCAGTGTCAGACTTTTGCACGCAACATACAGTATGTCTATTTCCTGGTTTCAGTAGTGTAAACTAGATTCGTATTGAACCTGCTGAATATACTACTGTGTGTGTGTGTGTGTGTGTGTGTACATACACACACACACAGTATATGCACTGCTTCATTCAGTTTGGAACAGCACAAGTGTCAATGTGTTCTTGATAGAGTTTAGTGCAGGAGAACAAAACAGAGCTGTACCTCCTGCTTAGCATTGAAATGGCTTAAGTTATACCCACTAACTATCCAGAATAGCCTGCAACTTGTGGCAGGATGTGAAACATCCAGGGTTCAAAATTAACCATGGCCCAATGACCTGTGGCTGCAAAAAAGAGACGGAACCAAGAGACAGAATATATGCATGTTTACTTGAATTTAATGTCTTTTCATTTATTGAATTTTATTTACTGCGTTTTCTGCATTGTTTTTACATACATTTACATTTGGGACACCAAAAATGTACTTTGGCCACTAAATTTAGGGGCTTGGTGGCCCATGAGGCCAGTGCTTTAAAAATATTAGCATCTATCCCTGACATCCATGTTTGTCTTTGAGCATGTCTCATTAGAAATTAAAAAAAATCATCCACTTGTAAATAGCACTGCAAAAGCTCAACAGTGCACCTTCAGCTTCAGCTTTCTGAAACATCCACATACCCCGCTGTGTCAAATAAGCATTTATTAGTACACCATGATTCACAGCTGCACTTTCAAAAGGCCTTGCAGCACCTTCATTGTGAACATGCAGGTGTTAAATGAGTGTCACAGTTCTAGCCCCTCAGTGAGATAAACAGAACCATCCATTCAAAGACATTGACAGACAGAATAGGAAGAACCTTTTCTACCCTTCTCTCTTGGTGAGAATAGCTGTGCCATAGGCATCATGAACGGGCAAGCAAAATTTAAAAGCTACATTAGAGTCATGGTGACAACACACATGGATCTATAGCCCTGTATCCTACTTGAGAATAGAAATTTCATCAAAGGAGCAAATACATCAACTCTGGTCACCACTGACAAAAACCTGCCAGAGAGAAGGAAGGAAGAGATGCGCATTTTTATCTATTTTAAGCAGAAGTGTGCAGCACAGTAACTCGTTTTCTGTCGCCACTGTAGGATCCAGCTGCAGCCAGTTCCAGTGTGCCCATCAGCCTTGTTCTGAGACTGAGAAATCACAAGAAGGAACTCAATGACATCCGATTTGAGTTCATGCCTGGTAGAGGTAGGAATGCTCACCTAGCTTTTTTTCTTTACATGTACTATTGCACACCAATCTCATGTCTCACTCTGTTTTTCCTGTCTGTGTCCCCTCAGACTCTGCTGACGGAGTTTCTCAGGAGTTGGTCTCAGCAGGTCTGGTTGATGGGAGAGACTTAGTCATTGGTAGGTACTGTAAAAGCAGTAGCATAGTGTGTGATGCATGTGTGCAGCAGCACAGCTTGGTTGATAGTCTTTTTTTTATTACTTAGTTATTATTATACAACCTCAGTGTTGTCTCGTGTGTTTCAGTGACAGATTACGTATCGTAGGCAGGTTCAGCCTTCTGCAAGCTAACCTTTTAGGTGATACTGACATCAGTATCAGAGAGTCAAGTAAGTGTGCATTAAAATAGAAGGTAGCCCCAGCCCCTGTTAGTTTGTCATCTTCCTTTTCCTCATTTTGGTCTGCCAAGCAACAGTTTGCTCAGTACCTCCCCCTGTGTTCAAGGGAAATACCCACTTCAATGGTGGCACTGTCTGATGCATGGCTCAATAAGGTCCAACAACACTATTTAGCAAACTGCTGCCCAAAAAGAAGAGAAAAAGACAATAAAATCCACTAGGATAAGACACACAAAGGTTAAATTTGCACTTTATTAGAAGTGTTCTAAAACATGGTCTGGTGTTACAAGAGAAAAGACTAAGTCGTGATGACTTGGCAAGTTTTGCTTGTGTGTCTCCAGTTTATTTACCCATCTCTATTAAAGTTTAATGCATAGCCATTTATCGTATGTTTTTGTGACACGCGTCCAATCAAATGGGACTAGGAAGCTGCAAAACTGCATTGAGAAAACATTTCTGCGTGATTTCATATGAAAATCTTTACCTGAAGTGTGTTTATATGATACTGACACAGGCAGAACAATTTATAAATGCCTTGTTTTTTCTAACATCAGTCCTATCAAGAATATTGTATAGATTTTGGGTTCTTTTAAAGGTGAATAGTGGTAGAACTAGTATTTGTTTACCACTGATTTGATTACATTTTTTGAGCTAGCTTTAGTGTAAGTAAGCACATACATTTTGAAGTAAATATACAAAATAAAATGTTTGCTTTTTTTTGTGCAAACCCTCAGTTTTGTTTTTGAGTGAGCACGATGCTCTTTACCTAGTACTGTAAATGTGCTGCACCATGCAACACTGCTTGTACACCATAAACACAGATGGTTGATGATTTTAGTGTGTGCATGTAGTTTGTGAAGCTGTTATTTCCTCTTTTCACCACTGGTTGTGAGGGAAAAGTTTTACATCAGTTGGTCATCTCACTTCATTTCATCTTCTGTCTAGTTGCTGCCAATTTGCAGAAGATTGTTGATGATCCCCATAGTAACAAAAACTTGACCTTTAAATTGGTGAGTACATTGACGCATACATTTATGAAGTAATACAATGGCTTCTGTCTACTCGCGTAAGATATCTATTTCATGTTTTACTGTAGTCAGTAATTTGATTGGAGATTTTAAAAGCAGTGTTTATGTTGCTTTCCCTCTGTTAGGCATCTGGTGTGGAGGAGTCTGAAATTCCTGATGATGTTAAGCTCATTGGATTCGCGCAGCTCAGCATCAGTTAAGTAGAGCCAGCAACAAAGGACGGAAACTAATGGTATTGCACAGCTGCATTATAGTCAATTCCAAGAAACCACTACTGCCAAAAAGTGGAGGACGAGGACAAGTAGGAGGAGAAAGCTGATCATGATGAGACGTGAAGCTGGCAGGAGTGTTACACTAAAGCAGGATGCATGAGGACCACGTTGAGAAGAGGCTCAATTCATCACAGGAATCACACTTGAAACGTTTACAGTGCGCTTATATAGTAAATGGAAGAGATGCAATCAACTATATCAACTCCTAATTTCTTTTTTTTTTTAATCTTCCTCTTCATACATAAGCACAATCCATACCATCTCCTGCCAGTACTGAAAAAGATTGCCTTTTTTTTTTTTTTTTATCAACTGTGCCATCAGTGTCGTGCCACCTTTATATGGCACTTTATACTACACTGAAATTGAAAAATGCAAATTCAGTTTTAGTTTATGAAACTACAGATTTTGCCAGTGCGAGTGGGGAAAAAAAATCAAGTCTGTGATTATTTGGTATGTTTTATTTACGTCTATCTGAGAAATCTAAGCAAATCCCATAAAACTGATATAGATACCTCATAAACACACTGTAGCATAGTTTTAGTTTGAATAATTCTCTGAATTCTGGTGGATTTTTGCTTAAATATTATCATATTGCTGTATAAGGCAGCACAAGGCAGTGTGATGAGTTCTCTCCTCCATGGTATCAGTGTGGGGTGGTATTGTCAAAACATAAGCAGAACGTTTCGAGTCTGACTGCACTCATGAAATCTTTTAAAAAATTCACATCTCAGCTGTAGCTGCTCTGTCCCGCAACTGCAGTTATCATACAAAACTATAAGATGGCATTTTCCCAAGGTATTAAAGACACAATTGTTTTCAGATTGAGACCTATTTAATATTCTTGTACTATGCAATAGTAATTTTCCTTTGATCGCATGTGAACAGCTGTTGCTAATAATAATATCTGGGTTGAATAAAAGCCACTAGTGTTTGTAAATCGCTAGGAGTTCATGAGGAGTCAACCAGCAAAACAGGCAACTTTAAGAACCTGCAGTGAGAATTTTCTTTCATTTTCATAAATGTGTCAACAAGGTTAAAAACTTAAAACACCAACAGACAGACACGGGTAGTTACTGTTTCTATGTTGCCTTGTTAAGAGGCCATGTAGCCTGTTTATTTACTGATCAAACAGCTGGGAAGAATCCTTGATGCTGGTGATGATGGTTGAGCCTGAGGCAGCTTTTGTTACAGGCTGACTGTTAATGAACTTATGTGGTTGTGTGCATGCCTAAGAACTGAATGTTCTGTCAAAGGGTAATAAAACTTTAAAGGGTGGATCATCCAAATTCCAAGAATAGAGTTTGTCAACTCTCAGTGGCATTGAGCCATGTAGACAGTTGGATGTTGCTTGTCTTGATCTGAGGTTTCTGCTTCCACCCAAGTGCAATCAAAGTAAATGGAATTTAAGTTTATAGCCATGTTGGCGTCATAGCTCGGGATAGAAACAATGGTTTATCTGTTCAAAACTGTGGTCCCCTCTGATACAACTCCAAACCCATTGGATGGATTGTAATGAAATTTGCTATGTTTATTCAAGATCACTAAAGGATGGGTAGAGCAGTCATGTCCCGCAGTCCACATGCCGAAGTGTCCTTGGCAAGACACTGAACCCCCAAGTTGTCCCCGATGGTTAGAGCCTTTGGTGTGAGTTGGCGCCGCAGATGGCTGCCTCAGTTCTGTACCAGAAACAAATTCCTTGTGTGTGTCACATACTTGGCCAAATAAAGTGTTTATTATTATCTTGCTCAACCATTATGTCAAGATTTTAGCTTGATACTTGGACCAAAAGCCTGCATAACAAATGAAATTCTCCTCAGCTGAACTGTCTGTTTAGTGCAAATTTGCAAATGGTAGCATGCAATCAAGCTAAACTAAGTTCGTGAATATCTGTGTGAGCATGTTTGCATGCTGAGGTTAGCATTTAGCTCAAAGTGCTGCTGTGCTATAGCATGACCGCTAGCATAGCTGTAGACTCTAGTTTTTTTTTGTTGGTGGTCACATAATTCAAAATGACATTTGAAATAGTCCATTAATCTGGTCATGGATCCCGCTGTCCACAGTTTTCACTGCAACTGTGGAATTATTGAAAAAAAATGTTTAGAAAAAAGTTCTAGAAGGCTTTATGAATGGTGATCCCCTGACTTTACCTCTAGCAACCTCGAGGCTGCTTTTTATATCTTTGTGAAATTTTTGAACTACTACTTGATGGATTAACAAGAAATTTGGAGCAGTCACTCATGTCCTGTCAGGTTGAATTCTGATAATTCTGAGAATGCCTTGCGTTATTTATTTAGTGACAAGAATTAAATTTAAGTTCCTACAAAACTAATAACATACTCAGCAGCTTCAACTGTACTTTTTTCAGTGATTAGACTGGATTAGCAAATGTTAGCATGTTAGCATTCCGATTATGAACATAGCCATAGACTTATGTTTTAGTGCCACAAACAAAATTCCATTCACTTTGTTTGCATTGAACGACAGCAGGAACCTTAAGACAAATCTGTCAAAGACTCACCAAACAGACCAAATCTGTCTGCATGGCTGGACAACAATAGAAGTAACTTGTTCATATTTTGGGCAAAGTAAGCTTTTAAACATCACCAGAAGCCAGTTAGTTTTTTTGTTACTTGGGAAGATTTGACAGTACTGTAATGTCTTTTGAGATTTGAACATTCACCAACAAATCGGTGTCACCACTCCCAGTGCATTTTTTGTGTACCATTGTAAATGGTGTATGTAAAGATGGCAACTCCATGCACTGTCACAGAATGTTCATGAGGTTTGTAGGTTATGATAAAGCTTCATCGACCATTTTAAATGTACAGATCACATAAAAGGAACATTTTACTTGTAAATAATTCATCATGTTCTGTACTTGGTTTGGTTTGTAGTGTTTTACACTGTTGGCCTTTTCCAGAGCATCATTAATCATTCACAATTTATTTGTTCAGTTGGCACACCAGCTCACTGATACAGTTTAAGTATATTTTTGGATTTACTTGGGGCTTCTATTCACACACTCTGCTTTGATGTCATGATATGCAGTTTTTCTCAATGAAACCTGTTCAATGCTCAAAGATGTCATTTCAACAGACAGATGGCACATGTTACACTCTTCTCCTTCCCTGTGTGTTCAGTATGCTTGATTTTTGGTGGTAAAATGATCAAAGACTTTGAGCTGAAAGTAATAGAGATTTTCTTAATTTCTCTCCCTTTTATTGTTTGCTCATCAGAAAAGCCATCATTCTTCCACTATGTGGTGGCATTGAATGATTTGTAATCGGATGATTGGCAAGTACGTTTTTCTTTCTCTTTTTTTTCTAGTTCCTTACATATATTTTTGAATGTGCTTAATCATAAAATGTGTATGTCCACAAAAGCATAATTTGAAGTGGAATATTTGTGATAACATACAGAAGAGATTCCTTAACAAATTATACACATTACATTGTTGGAAGATGTCATCACATGCAAGGTGATTTTTAAGTAGCTGAATAAAGTCAATGAGTGGAAACAGTATTTGTATAAAATGTCATTAATATAACATTTGGCCTTGAGATGTGTGCTCACCACACTTAGTCACTGTCTAAGATCAGGTAGTAAAACATTTATTTTGAACTGAAGATTAATAACCAGGTACCAGAGTTCGTGCTTCTGCTGATCATTGTCTGCTGTGGGAAAATGGCTGATTTTGGAGAGATTCTGAGGGCAATCGGAGACTTTGGTTTCTTCCAGAAGGTTATCATTCTCGGGTTAGGCTTCCCAAATATCTTAATACCACTTTGCTTTTGTAGTTGTGTTTTTCTTCAGTCAGATCCAGAGCGCCACTGCAACACAGACTGGATCCTCAGGGCTGACCCTAATCTGACCGCAGATGAGCAGCTGAACCTGACTGTGCCCCGGGAGGAGGATGGGACCTTCAGCAGGTGTCGGATGTTTGTGCCTGTGGACTGGGACATCGGTGCCATCAGGGAGTATGGACTCAATGAGAGCACAGGGTGCCAGAATGGATGGGTGTACTACAACACACTGTATGAAGCCACCATAGTCACTGATGTAAGTTAAGTATGATGTTTTATTGTAATTTCTTTGGTATCATCTGCCCTGACTGTCCTAATTTTATGTTTTGCAGTTTGATCTTGTGTGTGACAAATCAAACATGGTTGAAGTTGTGCAGACAGTGTTCCTGGCTGGTTTACTTTTTGGTTCATTTGTCTTTGGACCTATAGCTGAATCGTAAGTGATAGAAAAAGGTATACAGTATGTGCAAAATGTTGGGAAACAAACATTTAAATATTCATTTGACCCACTATCTAAACCTTAGGTATGGCCGCAGGAGGACCACCCAGATGCCAGTTGTCATTCTGATAATACTCATCGTTGTTGTTGCTGTGTCTCCAAATTTCCACATTTATTTGGTATCACAGTTCATAGTTGGATTTGCAGGTGGAGGGTATAGAACTGCCTCCACTGTGTTAGGTATGATTTATGGGCAATATCACACACATGGGATTGTTTGGTTCTTTTCTCTTTTTTTTTTTGCATTGATCTTGGTCTTTAATTTCTGTTTGTAGCTACTGACTGGATTGGGATCACAAAAAGGTCCTCTGCCTCCTGTGCATGCCAGGTGTTTACAGCTATTGGAGGGTGTGCCTCAGCTGGTCTGATCTATGTTATTCGTTACTGGAGAATAGCACAGTATGTCATGGCAGGAGTACAGGCCTTTGTGTTCTTGTACATATGGTATGTGTTGTATATACTTGTTTATTTTTATTCTTTACACTGTGCTGTAATTGGACATTACACTCCCTGGACATACCTACCTGGCCAAATCCAGTTTACCCATGTGTATCTTGGCTTTATAGCTCTTGTGGTACTTCACATAATGATTGTATTTACTGTATATGGATATGAGTATCCTGGTTTTGATAATATTTGGCTTTGCATGGAACACAGCGAAATCTGGTTGTGCATATCCATATATACATGATAAAGACTAGTATCATGTTTACTGATGACTCCTAGCCTAAATTGTCAGCATCCTCAGCTGTCATCTTACTGATATGAATAAGAGGCAATTATTAATTAGGGAAAACATTTGATAACTGTATTTAGGCCCATTTATTTTTTCTCAGTGAGAAAGATATATATATACTAACTGGAGTTGATGTAGCCTGTCGTCTGTTGGAGGCTTTGTAACACCTTTGGACAGGCAAATCCATTGACAACTCCTCCATCCTCTATAGTGGAAAGTGAACGTGACCAAGCATGTCATCCAAAATTTTGAAGAATTTGAATGTTGCTTGTCCCACTTCCTTGTTTTTTAATGTTTGACTGCATAGTAGTTTTTCTTCAGTATTTTCTACTAGCAATCTGATGAACTATGTACTTAGTGATTAAACTGTTCATTCTGCACCAGTGTGAGGTGCCTCAGTCAGTCTAGTAGACCTGTCTGGGTACTCCAAAAATACACAATAAAAGTAGTTCATGTTGTCTGTGCAAGTGTAAGAAACTAAAATAAATAAAAAAAAAACAATTATCTTGAACTACTTATGAAAGTATCTGTATTTAACACACTTGTACTTTTGTGTGCATACCTAAAAATGTATGCTAATGAAACTGAGAATTCGCATTGAGGGATATCTAGTACATTTAAAATGGTTGTCTATGAGAAAGCGCATGTCGGTGTTCATAATCAGAGTAATATTTGTCTGATATGATATTTCTCTAAGGAGGCCTACTCCACCTAGTATATGTGGGTTTCTCAAAACCAGGATAAGAGCTTATTCAGGTTTCTAAAATCAGGATATGATGCTTACATGTGGAACTACAAAAACAGGATACTTCAATCATAACCGGGATGCTCATGTCCATGTAAACGCATTCAGTGAGATCTAGCAAAATCAATTTGCTTATACGAGTAGTGTGCTCAGGAAGACTGCTGTGTTTGTAGCTTGGTTTGTTAGAGTCAGACAGTTCAGTTCAATTCAAGTTTATTTGAAGTGTGGTCTCACACCTCAGCATTTCAATACACTTTACATCCACATAAAATACAAAGCTTCAATAAAAAAACAATTATTAGCATAGATTAAAATTAATTTAATTGAAACCAACAAATACATAAAAACAATAAATACACATACAGTATAATGTAGAAATGAACAAATTTAGAATAAAACAAGGGATAACTTCAATAAAACAACAGAATAACAAAATACAGCAATTAATTAAATGCTAGCTAGAAAAAACTGGTATTTAGATTTAAAAGCCTAAACAGAGTTTGCCATTCCAGATGAAGGAAGTACGGTATGGTAAGAAAAAGGCCTAAGACCAGCTGAGCTCTTATTCACACTTGGAACAACCAAAAGTCCTGCATACTGGGAATGTAATGAGTGAGATGGTACATAATGTATAAGTATATCAGAAACTATGACAGCGCAGTACCATGTACGATGTTACTGTATAATGTCATTAAACATGAACAGGAAGCCGGTGTATTGAGGCCAGAATAGGTGTAATATGATCAAACTTTTTCAGTGTAGTCAAGATTCTTGCTGCTGCATTTTGTACCATCTGAAGACCTTTAGTGTGTCAATATGGAAGGCCAGAATACAACATTACAGTAATCTAATCCAGGTGATACAAATGCATGAATTAGTGTTTCTGCATCCCCCATGGAGAGAACAGGTCTGAGTTTAGCAATATTACACAAGTGAAAAAACGGCGACTTTGTAATGACAATGTGATGATCAAAAGAAAAAGTACGATCATCGATCACACATAGCCTTTTTTTATTGTCAGACTCTGAGGAACCACACAGTTATCCATTCTAGATGGTCATACTGATTTCTGAGTCGGGACAGTCCAATCACTAATATTTAAGGTTTATCTGTATTAAGAAACAAAGTTATGTGACATCCAGTTTTTAAGGGTACATAGAAGCAAGCCTCTAAATCAGCAGATTGGAAAGGATTGTCATCCTTCACAGGGACATACAACTGAATATCATCAGCATAACAGTGGTAATTTATTCCAGAACTCCTTACAATCTGTCCAATAGGTGAAATGTAAATTGAAACTCATTACAGTTTGTTAGTCTGACATTTTTATTGCAATTTTTTTAAGGTGGATTCCTGAATCTGCAAGGTGGTTGCTGGGACAGGGCAGACCCAAAGAAGCCAATGAGCTGATATGTAGAGTTGCAGCAATAAATAAAAAAGAAATTCCAGAGAATCTGCTGAACAAGGCAAGAATGAATTTCATCAAATGACAACTGATTACAACCAAAGCATGACTTAACAGTCTAAAGCCATGCTAGTGGTTATGTAAGGCTGCACTCTGAACTAAATGTTGACATCAGCATGTGAACATGCTCACAGCAACAATGCTAGTATGTTGATTTTTAACAGGTACAGTTTATAATCTTATTGCTAATGTGCAGTGGGCATCACAATATGCACAATATCAAAGTGCAGCCAAGAAGCTGCAAAATGTTTCTGGCTAATGTGTCAGAGGAAAGTCTTGTATCTACTTCTGTCCGTCCATGCATAGTGTTTGGTCATAAATCAAAGCACAGAACAAAATGAAATTGTGCCCTGAATCAGCGTTATTACAGTTAAAGATAAAGAAGATCTATATTTAATTTCAAAGTAATTCCTCCAATAATTGTCAAGACATTTCAATGAAAATACAAATGTCAAACTCTAGTATAAGTGAGGGAATCAAGTCAGTAGGATTTATTCTCTGGGAGTAAAAAAACCCCACCATAACACGTGTTTGTATTTATAAGTATTGTCCTCTGTTTTGTAATGATACATTTGCCCTTTAGGTAACTGAGGAACAAGAAGTCCAAAGAGGAGGAATCAAAACAATTTTTACCTCAGCACTCCTTAGGAAATATTTGTTTCTTATATCTTTTGCCTGGTAAGTTAAGCACATTTTGTAATGCATTTTTAACAAATGTAGTTAACTTTATTTTTATTTAATTTATTTATTTTTGGTTGTATTCAGGTTTTCACTAAATCTAGGATACTACTGCCTCATTCTGAATGTGGGTAGGTTTGGTCTTGACATCTTCCTGGTTCAGTTGTTGTTTGGGATCTCTGAGATTCCAGCAAATCTCCTCTCCATCTGGCTTCTGGAGTTGGTGGGGAGAAAATTATCTCTGATATCAACCCTTCTGACAGCAGGCTCTTTTTGCCTTTTGACCCTGGCTTTTCCTCAAGGTGCCTTTCCTGTCCTCCACACTCGTTTTATGTGGATACATCAGTTTCACTGTCAGCAGTTTGATATATTGTACTTACATTTTTATTCCAGACAGTGCTGTTGTTGTTATAGCCCTTGTAACCACAGGAAAGTTATTTTTGAACTGGGCTAGTACAATATGTTTGATCTACATTCAGGAATTGTTTCCCACTTCTGTCAGGTATGCAAAATCAAAGTATACAAACTATACAATTACAGATACTGCGCATATACACAGTATATATTTGAAAATGACCTCCATGTTTTCCTCTTTCAGGCAAACAGCTGTTGGCTTGGGCTCCATACCCTTTAGAGTAGGAGGGATGCTGTCTCCACTGCTCAACATGTTGGCTGTATTACACCAGTCCATACCCATCACAGTCTTCAGTGTCCTTGTACTGCTCAGTGGATCTCTTGTGTTTCTCCTTCCTGAGACCAGCAAAAAAGAACTCCCTGATTCAACCAACAAGGCAGAGGGCAACGTGTAAGCGAGCTGCATGGAGAAGACCAAACTGCAACACTAATTTACTGAGGAATTGTGGCAATACCTGCTTTTGTTGGAGGTCACCCAGGGAAATCTACCTGAACTAACATCGATCCAATGCTGTTGAGTTGTGTATGCAGAGAGTTAGATAAGGACATTTCTACTGCTCATATACTGTATGTCCAGTAAATAGAAAGCTACAAGGGAGAGTTGGTTTAAACTGGAAACAAGGGGAACCAGGTAGTGTATCTCTGTCCAAGGGTTTAAAGTCCTCCTACACACATGCCTCAAGCTCACAAATGAATAGGTTATCTCATTTGGTCAAACTGTACAAGCATCAATGTAAAAGGCGTGATATTGAGACACAAAATGTCCCATAAAGCTACATTTTCATCTACACAAATTGAATAAGATGTAGCATATCAATTACTGATATTTAGAGGTGCCGGTAGGTGGAATTTTCCTACCTTCCTTTAGAGCCAGTCTAGATGTTGCCCTCTGTTTTCAGTCTTTATGCTAAGCTAAGATAACCAACTGCTAGCATTAGCTTTGTATTTACTGTGCAGACACAAGAATGGTCTTGATTTTTTCATCCTTTTGTTGCTCCTAAGAAAGCAACAAAGTAGATTATCCACACTTTTGGCAAGAAAGCAACAAAGTAGATTATCCACAGTGTCTAACAATTTCTTTACTTTTAGCATGCGTGCAGGGCTTATGGTGAATGAGCTGATGTTCAAACTTTTTATTTCCCCTTTCTTCCTTGTTAGAAATTAGCCATGAACTTCTCAGAGTGCAGCCTTTGTGTTGAATTCTGGGTACTTGACTCTAAGCAAACCAATGAAAGCAACCAGTACCATAAAAAAATAGAGATAAAGAACATTGTGTTCACAGTATGTAGACTATGATCTTTATTAATGAGTGGGTTGTTTTTGCCGTTGATAGGTTTGGATACTTAGATCTCCTTGGCTAAATGATGACCACTCTGTCTTTTAAACCTCACTTTTATTAAATCTCTAATCATAACAGTACGAGGAAAATAATAGTTGCAGTGGTAGCCATATAAATTTTCAGGTCAAAACAACTTCATTTATACTTTCAAGGGCAATTGTATGCAGCAGTCTGTGACCCAAGTTAACAATATACACAATTAATAGTACTCAAAGATCATTTAAAACTGTATATGTAGAAATAATACCTTTATATCATTTTATCAGTATACAAATGTATCTAAAAATAAATAAGTATAAAGTCTTTCTAACAATTTCTTCTAACTGAAAAGGTGTTAAATTAGCCACAGGATCTTTCTGCAAATAAAAAGTAAACATGATAACTAGTGTACTGTTACTAGTTAAATGGGTTTTGTTTGTTTGTTTTTGTTTTTAATCTTCAGGGTCCAGGCATTATATATTTCTGATGTGTTCATCACAGCACCCTTTGCTTAACCTTGTGGTAGTATTGGGTTTTGTAGTAATCCGCATTTTGTATTTAAATATTTAAATATTTTGAGATATTCCCAATTGTCTTGTATCATTGATGTTTCTGAGTGTGCTAGTACTTTTGCTCATGTACTGTCTGAAACAATTGTCTGTGTTTACTGTTGCCATTACTGTGACGCCAGAGAAATAAAACACTGATAGACAATATCCTGAGGAGGTGTAATTAATCTCTTTTGAACTGGCAGTACAGCAGCTCAGATCATCATTAAAATCTTTGATACGAACTGAAAGGTTCAAAGGCTGGAACAGCATATTTAAGCAAGCTAAGGGCACTGAGTACCAAGGTGAGTTGTTGAGCAACAGTATTAGATTTAAAAAAAAAAAAAAAAAAAAGGCATGTTAAGACAAGTGGCTTTGCAGGCGGGAGTTAGGGAATTTGAATTTGCAGATCACCACAAGACTGTTGCAGTCACAAATTCTTTGTCTCATGTTTATTTCTTTGTTTGCATTGGAACAACACAAAAAAAGCAGAAGGAGAAAAAGATAAATCTGATACATTTCACACAGAATCCCAAAAATGGAGTGAACATGACTACAGTTTTTGCTGCCACATTAGTTTTTTTAGTATTTTATACAATTTAAGAGACAAACATGTCAGCAACACTTGTGGTGTAAAGAATAACCTTATTGTGAGATCACCGATATGTTTCAGCTTATGGCCTTCATCTGCATCATCTGACTGACAAGTTAAACTGTGTCAGATGGGGCAGCATTTATTGCCAAGTTGATATAGCACTCAAAAAGCTAAAACCTGTCAGAAAACAAGCAGCAATTTTACTTTTCTCCTACAGACCTAAGCATAACAAGGCTATTTCAATACCCATTACAGTGCATACAAACAGGTGACAAAGAAAAGAAGAAACTTGAATAAATGAGTGGGCTCTTCCAGTGTGAAATGCTATCTCATCTTTCCTTAAGTATATATACAGTATGAAGTTGAAATATTGAAGAAGAAGAAGCTTTATTTTATTGTCATTGTAACATTGTGACACGTACAATGAAATTTTGTTTGGAGCCGAGGGGACCCGGGCCCTTGTGTGTGAAATGCGAGTAATGTGTGAAAGTTATTCTTGGCCAGCAGCTGTGAGCTCAAAGTCAGCTCCTGATTTTGGAACTATCCTCCAACATAGTGGGGAATTTGGATTATTTCAAAAGATCATTCCTTTTGCTCTTTGCCTCCCCAATATTATACTTCCTTTTCACTTAGACAGTATATTTTTTATCCAGTCAGATCCTGAGCGAGACTACAACACAGACTGGATCCTCAGGGCTGACACTAATCTGACCGCGGATCAGCAGCTGAGCTTGACTGTGTGACTTTTGTGCTATGATGTATAAAGATGTGTTGTTTAACACTATATAAATTTGATATGCATACAATTAACATACTTCTAAAACGTGCAGTTTAGAAAAAGAAATACCGTACCAATTGACAGCAGTCTGAAGTCAACACTACACCAAAATTACATGCTGTTCTTGGGTGCTTAATATAACCTACAGACTGTGATTTCACACTTGTATGCATTAAATGACCAGGATAGAATGTGGTCATTAATGAACATTAGACATATGCATATGTCCCACAGTATCAAACTTTCAAAATCAATTGTTAACTCTAAAACTAAGATAATCCTAATAAAAACTTTCAACCTTGTGTGCACTGGCACAGGAGGCAAGTCCCTACCAGAGCCATTAAGATTGAGTCGCAGCATTGAGGGTTCAAAAACAGCAGCAGGTCACAAGATTCATGGAGCTTCAAATGGTTTCAAACAGTCATTAAGCCTTGCAAACTAATTCTGTGTTCTGTAGATAGATCAGCTAATTAGCTAGGTACCTAATTATTAAAGTAACCCAATATTTGAGAAAGACAGTCAAAAGTTTGTAAGATGTGTTTTGATATACTAACTTAATATGTCATAAATATAATTATTGCTATTAATTTCAACTTCTTACTTTGGAACATAGCAGCCATGTCAGTGTAGCTCTGTGGCCTCGCTCCTAATGTTTGGAACTATTCAACGTCCCCATGATCCGCCATTACCATAAAAAATTTGTCCTTATAGAGCAGTGGAGATGTCTCCACTGTCCTCCTTAGTTTGCTCTGGACCCCACAATATGATGAATACTACATAAACACACACAAACAAAGAAATGTAGTGTTAGTTGCTGTGCTGAACTGCTTTGTGCTCATAAATCAAGAGCCAAATGTGCACTGAGTTATCAAGTATTCACTATTATACTTGTCATTTAGCTACAGTGGAATATAAATAGTCAAACATTTATTAAATAGAGCTCATAGCTATTTCTTTTTTTATTAATGTTCACGTAACCAGCAGTTCTTTTAATTTAATGTGTTTAGCACAGCAGAAGCTGATCTTCATCTCTACAATGTATTTATACACTTGTCTTTCTGTTACAGGTGTGGACGCAAGCAAGCAACTCAAATTCCTGTGGTTATATTATTTGTATTTAAAATACATTCATCAATCTAGTCTTTTAACAGCCTTTTATTCTTCTCTTTAACATATACTGTTCAAAATTATGAATTTGTTTCTAAACAGCCTAATAGTTTTTGTTTTAGTTTACTTTTTTCACCATCATTCTTAAAATCATCACGAATGGGTTGCTGAGAGGCCTGTCAGACACAGACCCCTGGCCAAGAGTTGTATGAAATGGATGCCAATCAAATGATCAAAAAAGGAAGCAAAATGAGTAAAACTACTCACAAAATAGCCACAAACAGACACCAAATGACTAAACACAAAATGGCAAAACAACCATTTAGACAAATTCGAATAAAAACCAGAGATGCAAAATGACAACATGTAATACAAAGTGACCACAAAGAAATGCAGAGCATCTGAAAAGAGATGGTAAATGATTACAAAGCTGTGGAACTTGCTCCCTTGTACTGTAGGAGAGGCGTTACTGTACATCGGTGCCAAGGGGCCTGTTAATCCACGACTGTTTCATTCAGGGTTCATTACTGGTGAGGATGCTAACCTTTTCCCAGAGGCATGTAGCTTCAGACTCAGTCTTTTAGCATGATACAGTATCATGGATGCTGCCATCAAACGCATAGTTAAGATCCCTTTTTCAGAGTTCTAGTTTTAATAATGGGTCAGCTAGACATTTTTAGATGGAGTCAGAAGGCTAACTTTATCTTAATTAGCTAGCCAGCTGGAGTTGATAAAATCTGTTTTTCATGAGGGGCTGTTTTATTATACTGTTAAAAAACATAACACATTTGAAATGTTCCTAATTGCAGCCATCGAGTGGATCGGGGTGTCCAAGAGATCATGGGGAGCATGTGTGACTCAGCTGTTTGGTGCAGTTGGACAGTGTGTCCTTTCTGGTGTGGTCTATGCCATCAGGGACTGGAGACTAGCCCAGCTAATCACAGCGGCTCCAGTTATAGTGGTCGTTATCTACATATGGTGCGCACTAAGTCTTTTAATTTGCCTCTTTTTGCTATTTTCCTCTTTTTTAATTTGTGCAGCACAGACTATTGAACTGTCACATTTCTTCTGTCTGTCAGGTTTATTCCAGAGTCAGCCAGATGGTTGTTAAACAGAGGAAGGACAGAGGAGGCTAAACAGCTGATTGTCAAGGCAGCAACCATCAACAAACACACTGTTCCAGACTCTCTACTGGACAAGGTACTGTAACATATAGCATTTAAAGCAGGAAGTTTCAAAGCATAGACAGGTGAACCTCTGCTCAGAGAAGATCATGAAAACATTTTTGGAACACAATTCCACTCTGAAGGATTCAAGATTCAATATTTTTATTTGCCATTTATGCATAAACAGACAGTCTAGGCATATAGGAGTTCTTCTGCAGCTCTCCTTTGGAGTCAGGTAAGGAGTCAAAAGCCAGAAAATACACTTAGTCATAAAACAAAAAGCTACATAAGGGCGACAAAGTATTAAAACACAATACACAAAAATAGGGCAATAGTATTTTCCCCAGTGAACCTCAAACATTGCACTTGGTAATTCACATGGTGGAGTTGGATATGTCATTATGCTTGGTGAGGTAGT